GTCGTACAACTGCGCGAAATTATACCGAAACCACAATTCCCCCCAACTGATTCGCGCCCATAATTTACGGCCATCGCCAAGCCATTTCAAATCTGCAACTTCCGTTTTAATTCCCATGCCAACGCTTCCTCCTGGAAGGATATTAATACGCGAGAAAATAATTTTAATAAATAAGAGATTCGTTGCCTTTTCGAATTACTTTCTAATCGATCCCGCAAGCTCGGCACCCGTTCCCAGCATTTCAAATGTACTCGAGGCACAACTCGGTGACGAAATAATTCGTCTACTTCCTCGCGTCTGGAACTCGTCCAGAACTGCACCGGATAAATCGAAAAAGTCTCGCGAAAGAGATACCCGACGCATCCGGAGCAATCTCGACGTCTTAATTACTACCGGAGTTTCCCCTTTTCCTTTCCTTCGTTTTTTCCTTCTTCTTTTTTTCCTTCCGGAGGTGCAAACCGGCGTCGATTACTCCCGGCTGAATTTTCGTCGAGTTCCCCGTAAAGTACGAAAAGAAACATCGAGGAGACTCTGCTCGACTTGCAGGATATTCCCCGCTACCGCGACGAGGACCTTAACTCCCGGAAGTGTCTGAATTTTCCACACCCTCCTCGGGAATCCCGGATGCACCCTGGAAGGACTTCCGGGGAACTAGAGGAGATATATCCTTCAACTTTCCCCCGAGGAAAAAAAAAATAAATAAATTACACCGAAATAATTCCGTGACATTTCCCACGCCAAGGAAAGGCACTCGTTAAGCGTGGAAACTGAGGTTTACAAGCTCCTCCACGAGTCGCATGACTCGATGCAATATCCTGTTGCATAACTGCACCGAGTCTGCGTAACCACTAATTGACGCGGTTTATACGTCGATAAGCAACCAAATTATCGAGGGCATCCTCGCGAACTAATCAAGAAACTGCAATGTATAGTCTCTCCAAAGTACGTTCGTTATACGATTTGAATTTCTAGGCTCTCCCGAATTCTTCCCGGGCCACGCTTCTTCGGTTTCCCCGAGGAGCATTAATTAGCGATCCGCGAGAAAAATAGGCAACTTTCGCGATTTGATTTCCGGCGACGACGGCGGAAGGATCGCTTTCGCGGGGAAACGCGGAGCCATTTGTTCCCTCGACACCGCCGCTAGCGGCAATTAATTAAAGTTACATTTTTCGCAGCTGTTTCGAGGCAATTAGAGATCGCGGTCCGATTGGCGAGAAGCGACCGCGCGCCAGGAACGGCCGCGGGGGTGTACGATATATTTTGTTACCCCGCGTTTATTCCGCGGCATTTCGATAATTCGCCGGAATTTGCACCGCCGGGGGGGCAGAATCCGCCTAGTCGATATTTCATTCGGAAAAGGTAACGCCGATAGCAAGTTTAATTTTATCATATGCTCGAGCCATCCCGCGTAGCGGTCAATTTGTATCTCGAATTATGTTTCGTTCTCGCTTTTTACGGATCGGTGCTTACGACAGAGATTTTGCAACGACGGATCAAAGAACGGGATATCCTTACACCCGTTACCGCCATGGTCGATACGCGCTTAGCTTAGATCCCATCCGATAGTACGAGTAATAATAATTAGGGACAGGCCTAATGATAGGGAAGAAAAGTGCCCAAAGGGAAAAGAAGCGTGACCACCTCGGTTAGCCAAGAACGGTACGAGGAAGAAAATATATCTTGCGAACCGTCCACCCTCGCAAATATCGAGTTTTAACATCTAATTCCCCTGACTAAATTAATTACGACGAGCGTACTCGCGCGGGTGAATTAATTAAAATTTGTCAGACATTTTGCCGTGCAATGTACGCTTCTTATTTTTTTACCGGACTTTATAAGCGATAAATAAGAGCCTCGGAATGAATTCCCCCGTTTCGTTGGCACTGCGTAATTAGAACAGTAGATCGTATCAATGGACTAAAACCTCAGGGTGGGTTTTCCGGCACGAAGGTGGAAACATTGAATCCGAAAGATACTCCAATTTGGTTTCGAGATTAAAATCTCTGCTTATTAGACGCTGTAGCGCGAGGTCCGAGCAGGACCAAACCGCTCCTTAACCGCGAAACACCCGTTATATTAATCTCGACCCGGGCTTTAAACGCCGCTTGTGGGTTCTTTTACGAGATTCGCCTTCGTTGTGCATTAACCTAAGTACATACGTTACCGTAACACGAGCCAATGATACGAGCAGGGTTACGACCGCGTTACGTCGCTCCGACCGGCGAATGGCGGTGTAATTGAATTGTTGTTGCGAAATTATAACGCCACCGGCTCGAATGAAACTGATATTCGGGACATTTCGGCCCTCTGCGGTAAGCTGCAGTCCCGATACAAATATTCACACGTATGCTAAATACGGCTTGCAAAACCTCTGTGCCCTCGTATCTCGTATTGCGGCGCAATTACGGGCTCGCGCGAAATTCCACCTCTCGTCGGGGTGTTCCCGTTCTTTCCACTTCGTCCCGCGAGAAGGAGAAGTAACGTTAATCGGACCTAATATATAAATATCATGTACAATTTATAAATTGTCAAAATCACACGTACTTTAGACAGTGCCCGATTTTTCGCGGAGGCGCTCCGCAGTCACGGAACCGTATCATGAACCCTCTCGGCCGACCTTGTCGCTAGGAAACGTCCAGCGGGAATGGACGCCTGGAGTAAAAAGCTCAGGAGGAGCAGGACTGCCGATAAATACCGGATCGCAGGAAAAGTAATCGAGCACGGTGGCAAAAAGAGGAAATTCCATGAAAACGTCCGAAGAGGCGATCGACATCGGAATCGAGCGCGCCGGTCGTTACGCCTTTCGTGCGGATTGCGCTCGGGTGAAACGTGGGAATGAAGTAGCATATGTCGGACGTAAGACCGGGATAAGAAGACCACTTGGTCTCCGGGCAATCGCGCAAAAATGAGGAGTAAATCTGCGCTCCCGGCGGGGGGATCGGGCAATAACGTCGGGTCGTCGAGCGACGCACGACATCGGACGTGGCGTAAAAGGACGCCGGCGACGCGTCCAGCGCGGACGATTCCTAATCTTCGGCGAGACCACTCTCGAGGAAATACTCGCCTCGGATTTTTTTTTCCGAGGATGCGCCATGATTTCGCGGAAACCTCCCGGGGCCGCGCGGAAGAGAGCGTTCCTAGGGCATTCCTTCCCAGCAAAAACGCCAATATTGTCCCGATGTAAGAATAGAGCGCGGCCTCGTCATTCGCAGTCGAGGCATTCCTGGATTCTACCTCCGAAGCGTCACCCATCACCCAGGGTGCTTCCTCGATAGACTACGTGCCTCTCCAGACTCCATATTTACAATTAAACGCAGAAATATATAAAGATTGCACGAAGTACTTTGACGCTATAAAACGAAAGTCGTGTTTTTAATTACTATTTTAGTACTCTTACCCGTCCGTGTAAGTGCTCGACGGGGCAGGAAATACCAACGATAGAAGCGATATCTCGTTCGTAGGCGGTTGGCTAGGAAGCGGTCGCGACTCGTGGGACCAAAATGGCCGCCGGTGCAAGGCACTGGTAAAAGTAGGTATCCCGGTGGCCCGGCCGAGCAGTCGTCTCCAGATTTTGATCTCGCTTCGCGAGTAAAACACAAGAATGCCGTAATCTTTGTTCAAACATCTCTGATGGAAGTCTCTCCTCGGCAGTCCAGCTCCCTACGAGATGGCTCGATTCGGCCCTACGTGTCTGGACGAAAGAGCGACTTCGTCCCGTGAAAAAATATTCGACGTGCCACGCCAGTTTCCCTAAATATAAATAAAACGGTTCATTTCAAGATTTCCAAATAATACGTATCTATTTCTCGCCAATGAGGTCGATGTACCATTAAACGTACCCTAGAGCTTTCCTGATGACCTCTCCATTATTTCAAGCAGCCGGAGGCTCGTTTCCTCGATGCGAATACAATGGACGTACTTATCGTCTCCGAAACTTTTGCGGAAAAAAAGAATCATTTAATAGGTCTGCAAAGAAAGGCACGGAGCCGAGTGAGAAAAAAAATGCGGCTCATGTCATCGGTAATATTCCTACGAAACCGGTATGTAAAGTACTCCTTGCGCAACTTGGATGGTGTCGATGGAATGGAGCGATAGAAATCATTAAACGGTAAGCGTGATTGGTCGTGACGAGGGGCATTAGACCACAAGAGAGCAAACGCACCGATTATAATAGAAGATAAATGGCCTAACGAGACACGGAATAAAAATATTGTCGTAGAACTCCGACGAAGAGTGTCGAGTCATTCTTTTCAGACGCGAATCGATCAAAATTATATGACGCAGCATGTCCGTTAACAATAGCTACCTAATGCCTTCCGACTCTTGAACGTCTTTGTGTGCGCTCATTTTATTGTCTCTTGGTAACGGCAACAAAATCGTAATGACGGAAAAATACAAGCATTCGCAAATTAATTGACGGACTTTATCACGCTGACAGAATATTGATACTACTTACAAACAATATCCAATTTCTATGGTATTATTCAAATTTGTCTCGAACATTTTAATAATTGCCAGCGGCGCGAAATAGAATGGTGGCGTCATCTGGTTAGATCTCTAATAACGCCTAATTTATCCTACTTACCACAAAATTCCAGTAGCTAAGAACATTTATATGTTAAACTGAAAGACATAAGTAGGCTGTACCTGAATATTCGATTCAATAGCTATTGAAAAATACGAAGAGTCGAGTTGGAGATATAACGAGACAGACATTCGCTGTGAGTTTGAAATGTTTCGAAGTCGATAACGGAAATTGAGACGTAGGTCATCTAGTGGCGGAAAGAGGAACTCCGAAGCACGCGTTGAACAAGCGGCGGCACATTCAAACAAATCCCTAGACCGAAAGGATTTTCAACCAGTTCTCGGGCTGCCCAGAATTGTAACAGGTGGCAAGTGCATTAGCCGTCTGCATCCTCCACCGGAGGTCGCACAGAACGCGGTCACTCGATCCTTCCCGTGAATTTCCCAACTCATCTCTGTAATAAATTTATGTCGTTTATGGAAATGGTATGAGCTGTCAATCTCGATAAAAATTCATGAATTTTCATTTGACACAATAAATGTTTTACGATTGTTTACACCCCTGATGTGTCGATAAACAAAGGATAAATGTCGGGTAATACAAGCATGGATTTTGAAGATGACTTCTTCGAGGAAGATAAAATGTTAGTTCTATAAACGTATCTCTTTTTAATTTTTCTTGCAGCCTATTTCTTTAGCCTTATCGTGGTTCCTTTTGAAATATGCATGCCCAGGCTTTATTACTTAGTGAAATCGCACCTGGTTCTTTAAGAACTGTGTTTCATCCGAGCACAGTACCGAGTCGACATGGAAAATCGCATGTATGTACTTTTGTTGCTCTTATTATTTTTATCCTTATACGCTCCTAAAGTTTAATTTCTAATTTTTATAAATCTAGAATAAAATTAATGTGACCGAAATACTACCATTGTATGCTATCGCATCGCAGTTTTGATGTCAAGCACAGAAATGTTTACACATTTGCACTGACTCACAAATGTATTATCAAATAATATTATTTTTACTTGGAGTAGACGACTACAATTTTAAGTGCCTTTTTATTTACCCTGATAGGGGCATGACAGTCACATCCGGAAATGTTGTAATACACAAAGATGGTAGCAACCTCATTGGTATCAGTATCGGAGGAGGTGCACCCTTATGTCCCTGCTTGTATATAGTTCAAGTATTCGATAACACCCCAGCATCGAAAGAAGGCACTCTACAATCAGGAGACGAACTGGTAGCCGTCAATGGAGCATCCGTTAAAGGCAAGACTAAGACGGAGGTGGCAAAAATGATTCAAGCTTGTGGCAATCGCGTCAGCATTAATTACAATAAACTACATGCTGATCCCAAACAAGGACGTACACTGGACATAGCGCTTAAAAAGGTTGGTCGTGATTATTTTAATTAAGAAATAAATCTATTTACAAAACATTGCCACATCTTATACTTGGATACTTAACTTTCACTCTCTGATAAATATTTAATTCTAAGGACGTTTAATGCGATATACATTTTGCCAGATGAAACATAGGCTAGTAGAGGGAATGGGCAATGCAACCGCAGATGCTCTTGGACTATCACGTGCAATTTTGTGTAACGATGCACTCGTGCAAAGATTAGCTGCACTCCAGCGCACCGAAGATTTATATAGATGCCTCGTAGCTCATACAAAAGCAACGTTACGGGCCTTCTTTGATCTCATTCAAGTTTATAAAGGTAAATTTGAAATGTTATGCTTCTTTTTTACAAATATTAACGGATGATCTATTAATATTTCCGTATAAATGCAATGTAGACGTTACTGTATAATTTGTGTAGTGTTTGGTGAAGCGTTTGCAACGATTGGTGTAAAAGAGCCTCAACCACGTGCTAGTGAAGCCTTTAGAAGTTTTGGAGATCAACATAGACAAATGGAAAAATTCGGAGTGGCAATGCTGAAGTCAGTAAAGCCAATACTGAATGACCTAGGGACATACCTTCACAAAGCAATTCCCGACACACGGCTAACTATCAGTAAATATGCCGACGCCAAATTCGAATACCTTTCATATTGTTTGAAAGTTAAAGAATTAGATGATGAAGAACAAAATTACACGGCTCTTCAAGAACCTCTTTATCGCGTTGAGACTGGAAATTATGAATATCGGTTAATCTTACGCTGTCGTCAAGAAGCGCGAGTTAGGTTCGCCAAACTTAGATCGGACGTTCTAATAAAATTAGAACTGCTCGACAGCAAACACGTTCAGGATATCGTTTGGCAATTACAGAAGCTTGCATCTGGATTAGCAAAGTACTATGCTACGACCAAAGAAATTTTATCTTCGGTTACCTTGTTCCCTGTTGAAGTTGACTTGTCGCAGTCTGCTTTTCAGTATAAAACCGCTGTTCCTCAAATGATGAACGATGACGATGATAGCGTTGATGATGATGCGGAGAAAACAGACGATACCGAAAATATATTGTTGGTAGACATGGAATCTGTTTCTCCAAGTACCTTTCCTACCAACGAAATGTAGCATTTTATTGAGAATAATTTTTTTAGAGTTATATTTTATATCTAATGGCGTGTAACTGCACTCCAGCATTATATATTGAAAAACTTTAATAGCTTGAGAAATGTGCAATCTACAAAGTCATTTCTATGATTCCATTAAATATTGTGATCTATCTTAAATGTATGGATATTGCTTGACACCTAGTCGAATAGCTGTAAGATTTCATCGTTTCTGTATCGTACAACAAATTATGTGGATGTTATGTTTGAATTCTTTATTTCATAGGCTGAGGATGTGAACTATTAACCCTCGAGCTTTATATAATTTAAGAGGTCTGTATCATCCGTCACATTTTCTCACGATATAATTAGAAATATTATAAAAACCAAAGTCATGTGAATGAGATATACGAGACAATAAATACAATAAGTGTATGTTTCATGAACATAAAATGATTGCTACAATCTGCACCTTAAATAGTACCATCCTATTGTGAAATATTTAACCTCTAAAAATTGTTTCCTAAATTTGGAATGATAGACCACACTGAGTGATATAACGAATGCACGATTTTAATTTGCGACAGCGATATGACGTACAGTAACACAATAAAATGTTATATCAATAGAATTCGTTTCCGAAATTATACATTTAACGAGTACATGCGCACGTTAAAGGTCCCTTGTTATGTATGGTATTGTATTGTAAATGAAATTCGCAAATACAATGAAAATGCTTTTATATAAATGTCTGCGAAAATGAAATCAAACATGCCTTTCTGACAGATTCATTATTATACCTTTCAGTCAAAATACCGTGAAATTACGAAAGGCGTAACTTTCCATTCATGCCAGAGAGAGTATACACTTTAAACGTTGATCGGTCAATTAATGTAAAGTAATAAATTTACGTGATGAATGATTACTGATCGCACATTATAAGAAGTAGTCAGCTTGAGGCTTTTTACTGGGGATCCCTCTACTTTCTTGAGGAGCTGCTTCAAAAATGGTAAAATCCCTTTGCAGGTGTTCATTTAACTCCAAAATGGCGGCCACATTACCACATCTACGAATAATAAATGACAATGCTTTAACTTATATTTAAACATTGAGAAACCATGCAGAAAACGATTAACCATGGAAAAATACCTATAACAATAATTTGGTGCAGACCAGACAGTAAGAACAGTCTCATTGAAGTGCCACTTATATCCTTCCATGACCAACTGATGAGCTCTACATATCATATCTATATCATTTGCGGAGTTGAACTGAGCTACGACATCGCTACCAAAGAGATAGCCAGCTCCTCTGGGTGACACACCCCAACCCTGGGTGTCTTCTGGGTCAGACCATAGCAAATCACACATTGGCCCGTCGTGAGGAACCTAAATGATTAACTAACTTCATTTCGATATTATACATACCTAGTAACTTTTACCATCACATTTTCGCTCAATCAAAAAATTATAGCTTGCAATTGTCATATTCTGCATAAGAAAATAATAGTTATTGTTCTTTGTTCACAACTACTTACCTCCTGCTTTCTGTCGATTGTGCGGATTTGATCAAGTGTCTGGATGCTAGGAGACAGTCCTCCATGAACACAAAAGATTCTTCCATCGATAATTGCAGAAAGGGACAAATAGTCAAATATTTCTGTGCAGTAACGCCACACAGTGATACTCCCATATTTTCGCAGACATTCATCATAAAATCCATAAACTTGCGTAATTTGTCTTGATTCATGGTTACCGCGTATTAACGTAATCCTGTCAGGATATCGAACCTATTCGACATTTCAAATGTCATAGCACAATTCATTATGTTAGTAATTTATGAGTACAACAAAGATCACACGACAGACAACTACTTACTTTCAGTGCAAGCAGAAGAAGAAACGTCTCGACGCTATAAAACCCTCGGTCAACAAAATCCCCCATAAATAGATAATTAGTTTCTGGTACATCACCTCCAACTTTAAATAGTTCCTTCAAGTCATAAAATTGACCATGAATGTCACCACAAACCTGTAAACGAAATCTCCTATATTCTTCGACAAAATCAAGAGTGAAAAATAAACGGCACTGAAATTAATATATGATTTGTTTAAAAGTACGCAATACACATATATGAAACGCATATCTCATAAGAAATTAACTTACAGTGACAGGAGAGTCGACTCTCTGAACATTGCTTTCTTCAATAAGAATTTCTCGTGCTTTGGCGCAAAGAGCTTTCACTTCTGCTTCTTTAATGATTTCACATTTTTTTAATTGTTCTATTTGTCGATCCAAATCACTGGAATCTGACATCACGGAGGATGCAAGTCCTAGCTAACACTGTAAAGAAATTAAATAATAAATTAACTATTCTTTTTAGCAATATAATAGATTGGCCAAACAATACGTCACAAATAACTCTCCTATTCCATCTCTAAGATTTGTTTAATATAGATATCAACAAAAGCCTGATGATTCATAACCTCAAAATCATAAAGCGTTAACTACAGATAAGGAGCAAGATCAAACGCCAGCACCCGTTTCGAAATAGCCAAACAAATTATAAACATATGTGCATGCCCGGTTTCAAGACATAAGTGAGTATAAACATTAATATATCTCGTACACACTGTGCTACCTATTTCTTCTAACCCACAAACTCCAAATGTCGCCGAATGTTGGGGAAGTATGGAGAAGTATGGATCAAGGGAAAACTTGGGTAAGGAGAAGGTTGGGGAAGGTGGAGAAATGAGGTCGAGGTGGGGATCCGTCGAGCGAAGGGAGTGAGAATCAAATTCCCTAGCCAGGAAATTGAACAGGGAACTACGAAAAAATAAATTCCTGTATGTACCCTACCATTGGCGAACGTCTTTAGATCGAACCAATCGGGTGAGAAGATACCCTTTCATGCTGTAAAGATGGAATTCTTCTGCTCTTGTAGTTGCGAAAACGATCGTACAGATTTTTAAGATTTTCCAGGTTCTGCAATTAGCAGCAATTAGTACGCAAAAAATAGTAGTAATGGCGGCAAATAAAAGTGTTACAGTTTTGACACCAAATGGGCGCCGACAAAACGTTCGAGTCACTCCAGACACTACTATTTTACAAGTACAATCACTTCTTATTCTGTACTTAAAACGGTAAAACCGGTATTTTTAGATGATATCAACTTTAATTTTTAATCAAATGACATGTAATACTTATTTACATATTTTTGAAATTATAACTTATGTCATGTTCCATCGACATACAAAATTTTAGGTGTTCAGATTTGAATATGTTATAGGTGATCGAAGAAGTATGCCAAAAACATGGATTTAACTCTGAAGAGTATGATGCCAAGTGAGAATGGCTCTTAATATACTTTGAATTAATTACTTCGAACATTATTTTTAAATAGACTTACTGGGTAAAAAATGTCACAGCAATAATTATTTTACAGACATTACAATCGAATATTGGATGCTGATACAAGCTTTCGATTTACGGGTCTATCAAACAATGCTCAGTTGGAAATGGTACTTCGTTCTAAACCCAGATCTGTATCCAATGTGACTTTATGCATTCAACTAGAAAATGGTGAACGTGTTACTGGACAATTTTCTCCTGGTATAAGTTTGAATCAAATTCTTAAGGAATTGTGTTTGGATCAGACTTTGGATACTGCCATATTAGTTTATACACATCGGGAGGTATATGAAATATGTTTTCTTTGTATGTGAAATGGCATATTGTATGTCTATTAAAAAGTGGTTTTTGGTTGAGTTTATTTTATTTGTACTATATAATTAATATAAAACATAATTGCAATGTCATGAAATAATACAATTGAAAGAAACTCAACTGAAAATTGTCTTATATGTGTTATTTTAGACTTAGAACGTTGCAGATTTATGGCCAAGAATTGGACAAAACGACGTTGAGATTGTTGGGACTCAACCGTGGTAGAGCAATGATGAGATTGATTCATCGTCATCCAGACCAATTAAAAACTCAAGCAAATGTTTGCACACCATTACATCGAAAGTCTTCAGAAGGTAACACTAATTCTCAGAGTGAAATTCCTTTAAATTTACCATCTACGTCAGAATGCAACATTAATAATCCAGTAAATCACTCAACCACTGAAAACGTGCAAGCGAATGTAGCAACCAGCCAATCAACAGGAAGGTCTGTGGAGCCTGCACAAAATACAGTACACGAAAATCAACTAACCGTAAGCTCTCAGGATGTAGCTCAAGAGAAGATTGAAGAACCTGGTCCAGTTATACAGCCAGTTCAAGATGTTGAAACTTCAAGTTCAACAAATCCTGTCATTTCCACAGTGGGTGATGCAGATCAATCTTACTTACCTGCAACCGAAGACATGGAAATTGGAAATGCAAAATTTGTAAGTTTCAGTTTAAATTATTACAGTACTTAAAGAAGGTTTTTACATATGATAAATATTTCAGTTGGGCGAACGAAATGCTCTGGTATTCAATCAGGCAGATGCTCGAGCTATACCACATGATGAATTACCATCCAGTTTTTTTGAGCTAACGGTTGACGACGTAAGATTATTATGGCGTGACGCAAAACGTCGAAGAGAGGAACTAGAAGAAACACCACTTGCAATTTCTGCTCATCGGCAACTACAAGAGGATAAGAATACCTTGAATCAATTGAACAAGTATCGTCGAACAGTTATCAGGATACAGTTTCCAAATCAAATGGTGCTCCAAGGGCTCTTTGGGCCATTGGAGACTATTCAGGCGATTATTGATTTTGTAAAAATTTACTTAAGTGATCCAGACAGCGAATTTGTATTGTGTAAGTCTTGATGAATTACAGTAATTCGTTTTATAAAAATCAGATGAACATATGTCTAAAAAAAAATCATTGATCCCTTACAGATACAACTCCACCAAAAAAGGTATTGAGTCCAAGCAGCAGACTCATAGAGGAACATCTTGTTCCATCTGCCATAATTCACTACTCGGGACAATCGGATCTGAAGACAGAAGTAAAGATGAAATTGACGGATCCTGCAACTGCTAGTATTCAAGCTATAAAGTCCAAGTAAAAATATTTCTGATTTCTTTAAATTCCAATGTTAACTATATTTGACATGTTTCACTAAAATCAGTTATTCGCTAACAGAATGGAATTGGAACGTAAAAGCCCATCTACATCTAATGATTCATCAGAGATAATGAGTGATGCTAAAGAAACAAATGGAAGTAGTACAGCGATGCAGGAACCTGCTCCAGGACCAAGTACAACTTCGGTGCCTTCCAGACCAGCTCGTCAGAGTAAAACTGAAGTTCCAAAATGGTTTCGAGGACCATCTGCACGCTAATTAATGAAAGCACAAACGAGGAAATTGAGACAGGAAAACTGATCACTGTTATGTTTTATATTATAAATCAACCGAAATATAATTAAACTCTCATCTATATTATATATCTAAATCTTTTATTACTTATTTACAAGAACACAGATTGAATCGAGCAGTTTACTTCAATCAAATTAATCAACACGAACACATGCGTAATCCTAATTTCCTGCCATTTCTTCTTCACCATTTGAACATAGTGAAATTTATAATTCCATGATTACAGTTCAATAAGAACTTGCACAATTTCACACGAGATAACCACCTGAACCGTTGCACTCGCATGCTCTTCGGATAAGTACACCTTGCCAAAAGTAGCGTGAAAAATCAAGGTATAATAATGGAGGACCGTCTTTACCTTCAAAGAGAATAAAGCGACAACTATTTCAACAAAGTTCCACTGGCCATACTTAATGACACTTTCGTCGAGATACAATAAGTCAACACAAAAATACTCCTCACCGTCTCCCATCCATCGGAGCTTTACTTCTTCGAGAAACCGTTGAGATATTGAAGTGAGAACTACGTAGAATCGAACATGGTGTTAACGTACGTTCTAAAATATAAATATCCTCTGGCCTTCGGACAGGGTATTTCTTTCCTGTATTCCGTTGTTAGAGACCGAACAGTTAATGCTCGGCATGTGTTTCCTTCATGGATTGTCTTCGTCCGATGAGTATACAGCATTGGAAGATCGCAACCATGGTAAGGAAGTATGGTCTGAGAGGGTCTCGTTCTCAGGGGCTTCTTCGAGTTCGTTGTCACTACCAAAGGAAAGGTGTTCTCTCCTAACCAGAGATCGCATTTGTTCAAGTGCCTGATGAAACGAATCGGACCTCTGATCTGACCTGTCAGTCAAAGGGGTGGCATCACCACTCGCTGTACCTCCTGCCGGGGTCTGTGGAGTATTACTTGGTGGTACCGGTGTATTCGTACCATCTCCTGTTCCTGCAAAGTATTTAAATGCGAATTGTAAAGTGTTAATTAGTAAATTTAAATCATGCAGAATTAAATAAGACATCACTGATATCCAAAAAAAAAAGTGTCATTCATATTGTATGTTATACAGCAATCACCATAGAACAGTACCCATATTGTCGCTGGCAGGACTAGCAGGTCTTTCCGCTCCTCTTATTTCTCTGACAATTTGTTCTTCTTCCTGAGGATTCAACCTTAATCCTGCAACACCTTTCTTTGGAACGTTATACAAATCACGTTTAATTCTTCGGCGTCTAGATGGATCGTTTCGACGTAATTGGAGCATGGATCCGAAATCGGCTATGTAAAGGAAGCCAGCGATTAACAGTTCGCAAGTCCTTTTACCTTGCTTATATGCAGTCTCCAGTTCAAGACTTGTACGCTGGTCGTATTGCCACCAACCTGTAACAATCAAAGTCATGCCACTGATTGGTTCAATGAACAAGAAGTTGATACCGGATTCGTTTTAAAAACGCACAGGATCAAAGATTAACTTCAATTTTGAGAACATAATCACTTTTATTGAAACTCAAAATATGGCATTACTGAATTTTTAAATCTGTACTTAACACAATGTAAAATTGTATATTAAATATGCAGGTATAATTATAGTACGTAGACATACATTTTTGTAGATCATGGATGTAATTTTAGATGATTAAGTAAATGTCAAAAATAGAACTAACATCTGGATATTTGTCATATAATACTTCAGCATGATGATTGTACCATTGGTTACACTTAAAAACTAAAATTTAATAAAGAGCATTCTTTATAACAGTGCCTTCATTAATAGAGATGGATCTGTAAAATTATCCTCTCCTAGCCCGATACATTTTATTCATGCCATGTAGTTTCACTCCATCATGAGCCATAATCTTGTGAATACCAGCAATCCCTTTACAAGCTGTGTCTTTTCGATCGCGTTTAATGTTACGCTTTAAAGTTGGCCAATTTTTTCGCATTTGGCACTTATTTTTGAAGTCAATTAAATAGACCTTGTCAGAAATCAAAATTTCACACTGTGCATCGCCTGCCTTGTATACCGCCTCCAAATCTTTGTTGGTCCTTGAATCGTACCTCCACCAACCTGAGAAGGGTCAGGTAAGTAAAATTTTTATGCCCTTTGAATTTTTTTATAAAAGCGCGTCGGTACATTTCTCGTATATTTGACACATCCATTAATGGCAATTTTGCTTAAACGGTTCTATCTTAAATAAGCGGTACTCTCAAAATTTTTGCCAGCTCTCCTAGATATTGTGCCAGTATTATAAACATTCGGTGAACGTATCATAACGCTTAAATCCTATCGAAAACAATGATGCAACCGATACAATCGTTAACGTATTACTTACCGTTTTTGCCTTCATAGAACCATTGGTATTCTTCTTCCAAACATTCCGTGACCTTTTGTGCCTCGTCGAGCTCTACTAGCTGTGGTCTTTCAAGAAAATCTGGAGGAATTTCTTGTCGACACATGGGACATTTTTTGCTTTGATTAGCGACCCCCTTGACACACAAGTAACAGAATATGTGACTACACGGTAGTCGAGCGGGATGAATACATGGTTGCAGGCAGACGGCACATTCCAGCAACGACGTAGAGGCTAAAAAGAAAAAGTGCTCGATTAGCGTCACAAGATGGATGTGCAAACAAGAAACAGAAACAAAAATTCAGAATATAGTCGATACAAAGCTGACATTAACAGAAGGTGACAATTATGTGCCTCTATAAATTCGTAAAATGCCAGGCATAAATACTGTCCTAAGAAAATTAACTGACAGCCCGAATGTGACCGGAAAACATCGCACAATATCGGGATCGAACAATTTTAAACGGTGTACCTTCTTTTTCTTCGGCGTCTTTTTCTTTATCCTTTATTGCTGCATTCGACTTATCTGGTATGGTGAGCTTTTCCTGAGCCATGACTAATTGTCATAAAAGCAAATAAACAGATACAATGTCGAGGCTGGATGCTAGCAGTAAACACCACATGCGTAAAGATGCGTCCTCCCGATCAGAATGGCCAACCTCGCTCGAAGTGGTACCACGTCCGATATCTGGCCATCTGAAATCACCAGACAGTGTGATCCTTTTGATGCTGCGAGTGCGCGAGGGGCCGTCTCGTGTTGTCTCGCCGAGAGCTGCCGAGAGGGTCGAGAGCGTCGCCTGTCGCCCCGAGGCCACGACGTTTCCGACGGTGCGGATATGTGCTCCCGGCTCGTGCAGCTACGCATCGTTAATCGATATCAAATGTGACAAGTAAGTGCTCGAGCGACGCGCGACCCGCGCGACGGCTGCTTCTATTATCGTTCGCCGCGCTTATTCCTTTCTCGCTTCGTTCCCACGATGTCAGGCCTCGCGCCGACCTGACTCGCGATCTTTAACGGGATTACTCGTTAAAGACTCGCGGAAAGAGATGGGGCGCAAAACCGTGTGCCTTTTGCGACCGATTCTCGGAAATCGCACGGTCCACCCTAAGGAACAACTTTGCGCGAGTTAACTAAATCTTGCACAGTAGTTTTCCTCTGTTTGAACGAGTTTGTTATCAATACGTTGCTAGACAGTTCGTATGGTTCGTCGAAACGCATCCTAGGTAATGTTTCGAGACAGTTCCGCGATCTTTGATCATTTGTTCGCAATTGGAAAATAAGCGTAGAACTTGACAAATGGGATTCTAGATGTTATCCATTAGATCCTTCATGCGATGTACTCTAATGCCGCTTCATTCTTTTCTAGCCGTATGTGAAATGGGTAGCGCGTGGTGGCAGTGCGCCGCATGCTTGAGAGCGCAAGAAGAGGACATCTGCGAATTGCAGCTGAATCACTGCAACCTCTACGACGTACCACCCGATGTGTTCATATACGAAAGGACATTGGAAAAATTGTATCTCGATGCAAATAGGGTAATCGTCGTTTGTTTCGATAATTATTAGTTGTTCGCATTCGATCATAACTTTCGTGCTTCGTCGAACAGATAAAGGATTTGCCAAGGCCATTATTCCAGTGCCATGAATTGCGCGTGCTCTCTCTTAGCGACAATGAAGTCAGTACGTTACCACCCGCCATAGCATCTTTAATTAATCTGGAGTACCTAGATCTCAGTAAAAATAGTTAGTATATTATTATGATCTCCACTGTAGTAGATGTTTTATATCGTTTACTCGTGTAAAGGTTATTAATTTCTGTAAAATTTACATTTTAGGTATAAAGGAATTACCGGACAGTATGAAGGAGTGTAAAAACCTTCGATTCATAGACATAAGTGTTAATCCTTTTGAAAGATTCCCAGATGCGATAACGCATATTGTCGGTCTGCGAGAATTGTATATTAATGACGCTTATATTGAATATCTGCCAGCCAATTTCGGAAGACTCTCGGCTCTCAAAACGCTGGAATTGCGTGAAAACAATATGATGACGTTGCCGAAGAGTATGAGCCGATTGGTGAACCTTCAGAGACTCGACATTGGTAACAATGACTTTACCGAGTTGGTGAGTTATCTTTTCTCCTTTTTGTCATTAATTGATCCATTCTCTTGTAACGTTAATTTCAATTTCTAGCCTGAAGTCGTTGGGGACCTGATAAATCTTACCGAGCTATGGATAGATGGGAACGACATTCGTCGAATTCCTGTAAACATAGAGCAGCTGTTCCGACTGAATCACTTTGACTGTACAATGAATGCAATACACACAGTTCCATCGGAAATCCAAGGCTGGAGAGACATATCCATAATGAATTTCTCATCAAACGAGATTTACCAGCTACCCGATTCAATTTGTTACCTCCACACCATGGTGACGCTTAAAGTCGATGACAATCAATTGAATGCACTGCCTGAAGAAATTGGTCAGATGTCAAGCTTGGAGGAGCTGATAGTTACTAAAAACTTCCTGGAATATTTACCGTCTTCTATAGGGCTTCTGAGGAAGCTCCACTGTTTGAACGCCGACAATAATTATCTAAGATGTCTGCCACCAGAGATCGGAAGCTGCACCTCGCTCTCCTTGTTGTCGTTGAGGTCGAACAATCTCACGCATATTCCACCTGAATTGGGCCACTTGTCTTCACTGCGAGTGCTCAACCTTGTTAACAATTGTATTAAATACTTGCCGGTGTCCATGCTGAACTTGACAAATCTTAAGGCGTTGTGGCTAAGTGACAACCAGAGTCAACCATTGGTGCCATTGCAACAAGAATTCAATCACGAAGAAGACATCATGGTGCTAAGCTGTTTTATGCTACCGCAGAAACCACGACAGGATTTCGAACGTAAGTTAATTTATTAATTACCGATATATTTCCATCGCTTGAATTACCGTTTAACATTGATACGACCTCTGATATTTCCGCTGCTAGTGGATCAGGAAGATGAGGAATGAAATGGTAATATATGTAAGAATATGAAAACGCGTGCATTGGGTTTGGCATGTTTCGTTGTCAAATTTTACTGGCATATTTAACCGATTTAATTTCTTACGGAATCGAACCGGTATGAGAAATTTTCTATTATTCAGAAATTGAACCAGTGGGTCCAGTGTCTACCTCCATTATCGGAACCGGAAGGAAAATTTGTTTCGCTGCAGAAGTCGAATCCGAAGTTCCCCGACAACTCCATCGTGCGCCTACCCCATATCCCAAGGAATTACGCAATCTTGCCAGGCACGCACGAAACCTGCACCATCAGTCTACCCACGATCAAAGAGTACGTAATTATATACCAATGAGCGAAATTTGAGCAAAACGTCTACCAAATTAAAATAATTCTATATACAGGAAGGCACAATCAAGGAGGCTGTCGTTGCCAAAGCCACCGCTAGTCTGGGTATCGTCTCAAAACCTGAGCCAGTCACGTTGAACAATAAGGTATCTTAAAAGATTTAAATTCTAAATTTACTGTTTCACTGTCCCTCAAGTGTGACCAATACCTCCGAAAACAATTCATTTTAATTATTAGGCTGTAGAACACGCGGATTCAGAGGAGTCGACCGAAGAGCCTGCCAAAATTATACTCGCCAAGGAAAAAAATCCAGACATCCGAGAAGCGAAGTGCGTTCGCAATCCAACGTCCGAGTATCTCACGAAACAGCCCACCATCGCCGACTACGTGAATTCCACCTGGAAACCTGACGAGTATTCGAAAGCGAACACGGCAAAAATCGTGGAATCCGAGAAGCTCGCCGAGCCCTACAGAAGCATGAACTCGTCGGACGGAAAAGGTGCCGAAATCACAGGGTCTCTACCGTACAAAATAAACGAGACACCTCTATCTCCGCCACCTTATCACATAGCCGCGGCGTTCTCCAAACAAGCCGCTCTCTTTCAACAACTCAACCATGGTAAAATCAGCCGCATATCGATCATTTTTCTCCTCTCGACCCTTTCGTATTTAACGACGTCCCTTACTGTTTGTAGCACCGACACCGGAAAACCATTCACCAGTTCCAGCGACCGCAAATAACATATCAAACTCCGAAGAGGAGTCCTTACGCCATGCCCAGACTGCACCTCCACAGCCTCTCTCTCCCGATCTCGGAAGCAAAGGATCGCCCGAAGCGAGCAATGGGAATGACTCCGAAACTCGATCCAACGAATCCTTCTCTCCCGACGATCGGCATTATTTGGATAAATCTCACGACCAGCTATCTCGCGACACCGCCGACTCGTTCCAGACCCCACCGTCGGAGCTCCGGTATCCCGACTCGCCCATCGATCGGGATCGTTCTCCGAAACCGAGCAAAATTCCCGTGTTGCGATCCAAACACTCGGACGGCTCGGCTTTCGAGAACGAGAGCGAGAACTGCACGGAAACACCGGAGGAGAGCGAAAGGCCGAAGACTCTGAGGGCGTCGTGCATCCCGACTTCGCCCATCACAGGAAAGAAGTACCGGAGCCCCCTGACCTCGCAATCGAGGTCCTCGGACCGCTCCAAGAGGTCTCTGCTCAACGGGTCCAGCATCGATGGATCCCTCGACAATTCCTTCAAATCCTGCGACTCGAACGTCTCCACGCCGACCTCGATAGCTAAAGATCCTCGAGACGGCATCAAGAACAAGCAATCCGACGACGGTCTCTTGACCCTGGCCCCGAAGAACTCGAGGTCGGCGAACGAGGCCGATTCCGGAAGAAGCACTCCGGCCTCGCCGAGCGCGAAACAGCTGGACGGTACGGGCTCTGTCAAAGTCTCCAAATCGAAAATCCCCACGTTGAACGACTCGTCCAGCTCGGAAAGAAAGCCAAGGTTTAAGTGGATGTTCGGGCCGCATAAGAATGCGAACGTGGTTAGTCTTCATTCCTTAACCGTTGTTCTTCCGTCCGTCTCGCGACGACGAGCGTAACGATCCGGGAGAAGTTGACACCGAGAACATTTTTAGACCCCCGAATTCGCTTTTGCCAAAGACTCGAGTTTGTACCGGTCGCGGGATACGAGATAATATTCTTGTTGCAACCTATGAAAATGTAAATCCTTTCTCTACTTCCAGTTCCCGGTACAGGTAAGGAAGAATCCTGGACTAGGCTTCAGTATCGCCGGTGGAGTAGCAGGGGCTGAGACGGTAAGACTCGGGTTTACTCTCTTGATTTTTCTTCGAAATCCGGAGTTGACGGCAAAATCTGAAGCATAACGAAACGGTATTACCGATTGCAGGGAATCATCGTGACAAAGGTTAACCCAGAGGGACCGGCGCAGGGCACGCTGAGGCCGGGTGACAAGATTCTAGAAGTCGACGGCATAGACTTGACAAAGTCGGATCACAACGATGCCGTCGCCGTGTTAAGGAACACCGGACCGGTGGTGTCCATGATGATCAGCAGGCACCAGTGATTTTTACCCGAGAGTCCTGCAAGCGATTCCTCGATCGTATGTAATTATATATACATGGCGTGTCGCGCAACTTTCAAGCGCCGGATTGACACTTCTGTCTAGACTGAGTAGCGTACTTTATTTAGGATCTTGTATTCCAGTTATTTATGCGAACGAGGACGGATGAGAGAAATTGGTTGTGCGACTGCGGGTTACGTGTCGAGTCCGTACCGAGTTGGAAAGCGCGAAAAATCGACCCTCCGGAAAAGAAGGTCATTTTTCAGAAGTCGCGGCCAGACTTTGTCCGGAGGGCTCGAAAGCTACGGAATCGGATTTCGACCCGCGATTCTCCCGGTGACCTTCTTAGGGAGCTTTTGATCCGGTCTTTCGTTTGATCTACGTACGCTCCGTTATTGGAACGAGGGAAACTAGGCCGGCATTTTGAATTTCAGCCAAGATACGTGTAATGAAAAGGTGCGTTGACCGAATTTAAGGCCCGGCATCCATCTCCGAGTCAATACCCGCTTTGGTTGAAAAGAGAGCGTAGGAACAAATTTTACAGAGCCGCTTTGGACATTGTACAGTGCACTTGCACGCCTCGATTATTTTTCGATCGCGCGTTTCGATGGACTTTTATACAGGATTTTTCGGGGTGTCGAGCTTATTTCGCGTTAGGTTTAGTGGCTCGCGGAATGTCTGATCTTCGCGGGAGATGGCACCTGGACGGAGGGGTATATCAAAGTAGAAAAAGGAAAATCCAAACTCCGCCGCCAAGGGCCCCTGGCTCTTCTCTCAAAAACCGGAGTTTCGATTTGGACGTTATTTTCCCGAAAACCGAGAGTTTGCTTTCGGCCCCCGACCCGATAATACGAAGCGCACATTCTTAGATATTCCCCACACCGTGTCCGCAAGTCAGTGTCGTTAAATCCGTTTGTTCTCGTTGTTTTCATAATTCTAGGTAACGATGTGCCAGAAAAGCTAAATACTATTTATTACTCGTATACATAAAAGAAGTGTATATACATATATACACATATATATATAAAATATAAATTTATACGAGGTAGTTGAGCGATATATCGGTTAGGTAAAGAGAAAGGAAATATTCTTCTATGTGCTGTACTTTTATCAAGTGATGTTATCGTATACTTATCGTACCGTTGTTAACCATATTAGACATTTTACGACCGGTTGCATAATTTCGACCGATTCCCTTCGGATTACTCTAACTCTAATTTTGTTTGCTCAATGCTCGCGTTGCCTCTGTATTAACGTCCATGAGGAGGGCTCGTCCTCTCGTAACGCGATTATCTTGCGAGTTTAGCCATTTTACCTGCGCGCGACCTTTTTACTTCACTTTCCGTTCATTTTCGCCTTTCCTTCTTAGTCGGCCAAGCCGCGTAGCTTTAGGAATATCGCCCGAATTCCGGGGACATCTTCCTTCGTGAGTATCGGTTGCCAAACAGTCATTAACAGTGCACAATGCCTGAGGATTATTATTAATAAATGTGTCGCGGTGTAAGAGCTCGATCGAAGCTGCTTCTTCTGAAAGATTATCGAGCGGTGGTTAATATACAAGTGGGAAAAATATCTATATATATATTTATGTATATTTTAATTTCAGAAGGAAGCAAAACGGCGCGTCTTGTGTACCGTGTTAAATGTTCGCGTCCGGCGACGTCGATCGGACGCGCCACGAGAAGCTCTATTTTAATATTGAATGTTTTAGGGCCCTCTTTTAGATATTCACCGTGTTCCGCGGCATTCCACGCCCGAATTTCTTACCGTCAATTTCCCGTTACGGGTCAAACGGAAAACGGGATATCCGAATAATTCTTGGTCTCGATAAAAGCCGAGATTCGTTCGTGGCGTCCGCGTGGGACAGAAAACGGGGTGGGTCGGATTTTATCTGGCCCTTTTCTCTTCGTTTATATAAAACTCCTGTACTGACCCACTCTGCTGGAAAATCCCCCCTTCTCCGATATTTTGTTACGATCGTGCCTAAGAAATTGTAAATTACGCGAGCGAACCCGTCGAGGCCAGTGAAATCTAAAAAAAAAGCACCACCTTCGATCTCGGAGCGTCGAAGGTTCGATACTTTAAAACTATTTTTCGTTCCGTCACGCATACAGCTGGAGATCCTTTTATTTATTCCTGAGACTATTTACATAAGTTATTTCGAGAAGAGATATTTTTTTCACGTTTCGATAATACTGCCTCGATGGTCGCTCGCGAATACCTTGCTGCAGCAATAAAAAAAAAAAGGAAATAAGAAAGCCAATAAATAATGGCATCGGCGTTTACTATTAGACGTAAGTCGATCGACATCATACTTGAATGGTCTTGAAAAATAGCTTCCCCGATCGTAGATTACTGTTAAATAATCGACTTCAGGGTTTACTCGAGAACCCCGATTTTGAATTACATTCGCAGAGCGAGGGATCGGTACGAGCCCGATTGTTGTAATAAACGGTAGTCTAATTCCCGATCAGCTGTTCCGCGTCGACGGAGCCCTTGAGGCCATTTAATCCATAACGAGCGCTAGATTAATTTTCATAAAAGATAGAGAAGAAAAATAACAAGGGGAACGGAAGAATACCTGAAAAAAGTATGATCGAGACCGCGGTGGGTGAAAAAGCGTCGCACTTATTCAAAAATCTAGGTTCCTAGTCATGCCGAACGCGCCGCGAAACGCATTTGGCGCGAAACTCCACCGAATTTCTTGATGAGGTGCGATTGCGAATAACTAACGATTGTATACGCTTTTCTTTCCTTCTAATCCCTTTTTAAGTGCCTTTAATTTGTTTGCGTAGAGAGTAAATTAAGCCCGTTTCGTTGGTTCCCGACGTAATTCGCACCTTTTTCTCCAAAACGAGGCGATTGTAGAATCCTTGTTAAATGGAAAAGAGTTAACGAGTTTCGCATTCGAAAGGTCGTGAAAATACCGAGCGACGTATCGGCGCGTTCTCGCGCGAACCAAACCGTTTGGCTGCTCCTTTTCTTCCTCGCTCCTTCTTCGAGGTGTTTCCTTTTCCCCCGTTCTTCTCTTCCGAGCGAAAGGGTACTCGAAAAAAATGCAAGCACAAATCGCATTTACACTGTGAACACTTCGGACCATGTAACGTGTACACACTCTTTCTACACTACTCTTTAACCGAGCAGACTGAATATGTTTTGGACACTTTGTATTTAGCTCTAGTACGTTATTAGATGAAGTAAGTACGCGAACCCGCGAGGAGGAGCGCAAGTGATTATACGAGTAAAAGGAAAAACAATAAAGTATATGTACGGATAAAGAACGCGTAGCTCCGTGAACCGCGACTTCCCCCGTCTCGTTCGGGGGTGGAAAAATAATCTTGCACCGTGCGTCCCGTTTTCCTTGCTTTATTTCCTACTTTCTTTCGGTAATCTTCCACATTGTAGTACCTACTCCCCTGGGCATCCGCTCAGAGTCCTAGGACCAGCTCGGCGGGGTTCTCGACGTAACGTTTCCAGAGGTTGGAGAACCGCGCCATGGTCGCCCCGTCGACGACCCGGTGATCGGCTGCCCAACTCACTCTCATACAATGGCAAGGAACGACCTTGTCTTCGGCATTGAATTTTGGCACCCTCTCGATTTTCCCAATCGCCCCGATCGCGATCTGTGGCGACAGGATCACCGGCTTCATGTAAGTGCCTCCGATCTGTCCAGGAAATATTTTTCATTAGGCGAAAAATCGTCTCATTTGTTTCAGGACCACGGAGACCTCGTCGCGGTTCCTTACCGCTCCGATGTTGGAGATCGTGAACGTGCCGGTCCGCAGGTCGTCCACGGAGAAGGAGGCATTCTTCCCAAGGGCTTGCAGCCGGTTCATCTCTTCGGCGATCTGGACGATGGTCAATCCGCCGACGTCCTTGATGCTTGGCACGACCAGCCCTTCCGGGGTGTCGATGGCCACGCCGATGTCGTGTCCCTCGAAGACCCTCGTCGCCTGCGACTCCTCCTCCAGCCAAGCGTTCAGCTGAGGAAACTCTTCCAGGGCCTTGGAAACTGCTTTCACGAAGAAGGGCATCAGAGTCAGGGTCACGCCTCGCTCCTTCAGGACATCTTTCACCCGGTTCCGGAACTCCAGCAGCTCCGATACCCTGCACTCGTCGCTGTACACGAAGTGCGGAATAGTCTGAAACGCGAGGATATCTCGAGCTCTCGTCAAGGAGCATCGACCGAGGGAAGTGAATTATCATGCAATGTACTTACAACCGATCGGGTCATCGTCTTCCACATGTGCTTGGCGTACCCCTTGAGAGGTCGAACTTCGCCTTCCTTGAATCTCCCTGGTTTTTCCGGACCCTCTTTCTCCTCTCTCCTGGCCTCCCTTCGAATGAACGCGAGAACGTCCTCTTTCATGACCCTTCCGTTCCTCCCGGTGGCCGGGATTTCCTTCAAATTAATTTTATTTTCCATGGCCAGTCGCCGTACGGCAGGAGTCGTCAGCACCTTCTCTCCTTGATCCTCGCCTTTGAGGATTTCATCCCCAGCGACTCTGTCCGCTGCTTTCGATTTACTTTCGAATTCCGCATCCTTAGCTTCGGTCTCGGACGTCTCGTTCTCCACCTCGATGTCCACGAGCGGTTTACCGACCAAGGCCACGTCGTTTATTTCGTAATGCAACTTTTTTACCAGACCGTCGTAACGACTCGTTATCGTCACCGAGGCTTTGTCGCTCTGCACCTCGCAGACGTTATCGAATTGGACGATTCTGTCTCCCGGCTTGACGAACCTGGCCGGAGACAAAAAATCGGAAATTAGACTCTCGGGCTATCTCGACCTCTTTTATTGAATATTCCTTACCATTCCTTGACAGTGACCTCGCGAATTCCTTCGCCGATGTCCGTCAGCTTGAAGGGGACGACGACTCCGTATCGCGGAAGACTCGCAAAAAGGAATCGTCGATTACTCCCGCGGACGCTCCTACTCTGCGAACGTTTCAACTCTTTTTCTATTCAAAGAAATCAAAGGAACGGGCCACGGGTAGTGCGGGGGATCTACCGGGAATTTCGGTTCTAAGTTCTGAACGAGCCTCGACGTTTAAATAAAAAGGGTCTCTCGACATTATTAATCAATTTCACGGGAGATCTCCCACACACCTAGACTCGATTTCCGACATTCCGGTGACACTCTATCGGTCGTAAACACTTAATCTAGGTTTGTCGTAATACTCTGTTATAGCTCATTACCAGTAGCACGACCACGGACGGTCCCAAGACGGAAGCCATTTTCGAGGTCGGATTTATAAGTAGAAAAAAGAATAAAAATATTACTGCAACGGGAAAAGCGGCCAAAATCGCGCCGATCGCGTCCGGCGAGACCCGCGAGAACAATGCCGTCGTTCGGTCGTCTTCTTCATGTATTAAACAGTGAGTTCCATATCGTGATCGGTTCGATGCCAGGGCATGTTTATTCACGAATGGAGCCACGGTACGACTGTCTTGAAATCCGTAATTACGAAACGGGACGAGCTGCCTCTGATAAGACGCGAGCGCCGATAGTACACTGGCGTTCACGAATAGCTTATTCGTGTACATGGAGCAGCCTGGTGGTGGTAAGGTAAACGTAACGTAAAAAACGGGCTCGAGAACTTATGTACTTGCGGTACCTGATGTATAATAAGCTGTAAAATACAGTCCATTATACCTCAGGTATCGCAAGTACATAAATTTTTGAGCACGTTTAAAAGAATATTAACAAAATGTCCAGTGTTGTCAGCTTCTTCTCTCGTTTCTTCAGGATGTGACCTCGTAGAGTATCCAGCCATCACTTGGTTGCTCGATGTAAAATCCAAGGTAAGTTACTCCGTGAGACACTTGATAAGTACCGTCCGATTTATTGAGTTGACGCAACCAACCAACCGTTGGTCGCCAAATTGTACAATTTTACAGGAGTGGGACAATAACTTATTAACGAGTTTATTCATCGCTACCGACTACGACATTCTACCGTACCTGTCGACCACGTACAGATGACTCCTGAGCTTCGATAAATAATCGATTTAATCTACGTTTTCGCCGGGTGAATATCGATAATACCGCTCTTACTATAGAGATACATTTTATGGCCATGTTCTGTGTACTTTGACGGCTCTCCTCAAGAAATCGTTAAATCATCCCTCGATTGTAGAGGTAAAGAAGCTTCTCATCGATCAATCAAAGGATATCTCGTTTCCAAGTACCTGCTCGGAAATTAAAGATACGCAGCGTTTCGCGTTGGCTCACCGGAAACGCAAAAAAATGCGTCAGAGATTTAAGAAGAATCGCTAAACTGAAAAAGTACGAAACGCCCCGTGGGCCGGCTCGATTATTGCTTAACAATTGCAACGGTTACCTTATGTCACGTGCTACGACGGCAAATGATAAGCGAGCATCGTCGGCAAGTCGATAGAATAAATATATACGTGGAGCGGTGCGTCGCGGACGACCTCCGAAGGAAACGAAATCACAGCACTTGGTTAACCCTTACCGCGTCACTCTCTAATAACGATCGTTAATTGTTTTCACACTCTGGAAAAGAGACACCCGAACGACACACTCTTTATATACATGCACATCGAGACACCGATGGTTATAAATCTCAAAACAGCTTCAACATGGTAAACTACCCCACGCTTTAACCATCCGCCTCCACCTCCACTGATCAACGTCCATAAAAACTCGCGACACCGCCAACCACCAGATTTGCAACAATACATATCTATTACTTCGTGCGCTTACGGCTAAACGGTTCTCCTTGATATTTCCGAGATCTGTATATTTTTTAAGATCCTCCCGAATTATATACACGATGAGACGCGGGTTCCGAAGTCCTTATCACGAGAGCGCCGATGGCGCGACTTAATTTTATACGCATAATCGCCTGCCATTTGCAATCGAACGGCCTCTTGGAAACTTACAATTGCGCCACCTCCTCGGAGTCACCTTTGTTTAAAGCGTTCGAGTCCGTCGATATTTCACTGATACCCACGGAGGTTTGAACGGCGACGATCAGGGCACCTTGCAGGGGTACGTTTTCGCTCCCTCGCATGCCGTCGTTGGTCAGCTCGCATCCCGGATCTGGAAGGACGACGAGATCTCATAGAATTTCGCCAATGGAGTAAACCTCTCCGATATCGTGTTACTTACACCTGGAGACGGACGCCCCGACGCTGCTGGCTTGCTTCTTGAAGGTGCTGCCTCCGATCCTTACCTTACCTCTGATGTTCTTATCCGGCTGGAAGACGATGATATAGACCTTGGGCGAGTAAAGGCAGATCAGAGTGACGGAAGCGCTGAGACTAATGGCCACGCAGAGCGTGGTGATCTGCGTCTCGTGGGAGTTCCCCGTGCCGAAGTAGATCGGCACGAAGCCCAGCCAGATAATGCAGGTCGTGTACATGGTGAACCCGATGAACTTGCTCTCGTTAAAGTTCTCCGGGATCCTCCTGGTCTTGACGGCGTAGATCGTCGACAGGAGGATCAGCGTGGCGTTGTACAGCTGCGAGAAGAGCAGGCTCATGTCCTGAATGTTGCACTTGAGGATGACCTCGGTGCGGTCGGGAAAATAGAGTCTGGTGCCCGGCGGTTCCACGATCATCCACACCAGGGTCAGCACCACCTGTTCCAGATAGGGAAAAAAAATGTAAACCTCCATAAATCAAGGAATCGAGGTCCGACCTCCTCCGACTCACCTGGCACGCGACCAGGGCAGCGGCGATGCAGACCTGAGAAGTCGGGCTGATGTACCTGGGCCTGACGGCGGACCTGGACGCGGAATCGAAGATCCGGGCGATGCGGTTGGTCTTGGTCAGAAGAGCCCCGTAGACGGCGCTGAATCCTACCCCGACTCCGAACCTCTGCATCACGCAGACCAGGGTGGTGGGAGAGGCCAGAAGAAGAAAGGTGTTCAGGTAGCACAGGAGCACCCCCGCGAGAAGGATGATGGTCAACTCCCTGCCGGAGGCCCGAACGACCGGGGTGTCCCTATGGCTGAAGAGCAGGCCCGCCACCCCCAGGGTGGCGCAGATCCCCAGACAGGCTATGACTGCCGGAGCTATCGCGAAAGCGCTGCTCCATCGTACGTGCTTTATCGGCAAGGCGTAGCAACCCCTCTTGTCGGGATGGGGCCAGTACCCGGGCCCGCAGTCTCGACAGGTCATCTCGTCGAAGACGTACTCGTATTCCTCGCACCGGTCGCAGACCCAGCAACAGGTGTCGCCCTGTTGCTTCTTTATCATGCCCGACTTGCAGGGCAGCGAGCACGCCGAGATGGGGATGTCCTTCGTGCCCCGGCTCCAAACGAGCTCCTCCGGCTCCATGTTAAGATAGTTGTACCACTTGCCCACCACCTGGAATTACAATGAGAACGCGAGGTCGGATTAGATAGAGGCCTCGAAGACGTCCATTTAATTTCGTTAAATCTACTTGCCCGATAGTGATAGCCGTTGGTGCCGCTGTTGGTCTTCCTGAAATTCAGGATCTCGTAGCGGGGCAGCCCGTCCCCGTGCTCGTCGAACTTCACCTCGCTGCCGGCAAAGTCTGAAAGGGATAAAGAGAACGAGGATCGATACGCCTTAAAAGTACTTGCAAGGAACCGCGCAAAGGACGTTTCGAATCCTGGAGAAGCGGTATGGAAATTGGGAAGGAGGCCGGACATTCGGGAGATCTCGGTTTTTCATCCAGTTTCCCATTCTCTCGAGGGCCGGAACCGTCCGGGCAATAAAGAACTTCTGAAACGAGAGCGCTCGAGGATGGAAGTCCTTTACCGTCCTTCCGAGGCTGCACTTATGCTAACGTCTGAATAGTTCATCGCATCCGCTTCGTGCAGACTTAATGCGCCCTTCGCCGGGAGGAATTTTCGTTGAAAGAAAAGAAATAAATTCCTCGGGAAACGCGGAGAGCCATAGACCGACATCGAGGACCGGGGAAATTCAAGAAGTCCGACTTCGGCCGGGCCTGCGACGTTAAATTTCTAAACTAGCCCGGGGCTGGCCGCGATTGGATTATATTTAATCGGGCACGTTTATCGGATTCCGATAAAAGGACGAGCCTCGATACAAACCGAGGAGCGTTTTAAATAATGCAAAAACTCGAAGGTAGCCCGACAAACTACGAGCCACGAAAGCGGAACGTGATTTTCTCGGATTAAGGATAAATACAGGGAGGGGCCGCGAGACCGCATCCCCGCCTCGGGCATTAAATTTCTCCGTTTATAGATTTAGCCTGGCACGTTTATCGGATTCCGATAAAGGGATCGACCCCGTGGAAGAGCAAGGACGACCGAGATCGGCCAGGACCGACGTAGGCGGAATCGAATATCCTCGCGGGGGGCATATCGCCGGTCCCAGGATCAGGACGAGTCGCCGGATCCGACCAGGTGCGACTCCCTCGTCCCTCCACCCTTCCCGGATCGATACCTTTAATTACTCGCCGCTCCGTTCCTCTGAATAATTCAACTTTCCGTCCGCTCGACTCGAGGGAACGCTTCCGAATCGGCTTTCGGAAGTGGACCTCGCCGTCTCGAAAAATCGCCCGCCTCCCGCTTGCCCGAAAACGGGAGCGATCCGGAAATGGCTCGCAAAGCCCATTAGCCCCGAATCTTGACGCGGAAATTCGCGAGATATTCCGAAGCCGGGCAATTCCTCGCGAGAAATTGGCAGCGCCTAGCCAAGATGGCGGCCGATTTCGCCGGCAAATTGGAAAACTCGGGAACGCGATCCGGTCGGCTTTCTCGTTACGTTAAAAGGCGAGCCGGGGCTCGCGAATCCTCAAAGGGGCGACGCCGTTAATCATCCCAAGGCAGGCTACTATCTCCCGCTCGCTCAAACGAATAATCGGATCGATCAAGCGCCGCAGCCCCGGTAGACAATGCCAGGCTCCAGGGAATTACCGGGGAAGGATCATCCAGGTTTTCGAAAGGCCGTCCATTATCGTCCGTATCGGCATCCTGCCTCCGCAGGGCAGTCGAGCCGTCGATGGGGACGCAAAGTCGAAACCGAGGCGAGGTCCCTACCGACGAAGGAGACGTTGAGCAGATAGTTCCTGTAGAAGGCACCGCGGTCGTAGTTGATCATGGCAGAGCATAAGCCCTCCCTCTTGCCGCAGAGATCCTTGCGAAGTTTGTGCAGGGCCAGGGCAAAAGCGTAGACGGCGTCGACGACGAACTGCACCTTGGACTCCTGCTCGTATCCCTTCTCGGCGACGAGCCTGAGTTTGTTGGAGCAGACCGCGAGGCTGCGGTTCGTTACCAGGGGGACGTTCTGCCTCAGGGTGCAGTCGAACGCGTCCTCCCAGTACTCGGCGAACCAGGGGTTCCTGCGATTCGTCTCCGGAGTGAGAGAGGCCATGTACTCGTCGAACTCTGGGATATTCTTCGACTGGAGCTCAACCGTGATGGCCCCTTCGGCCTCCTCTTCGAGGCCCTCGACGAGCTTGGTCTGCCTGCCCCAGCCGTCGCTGGCGATCCACTGGAAGGGCTGGGACACGTTGGACCTTCTGGCCGCCTCCAGAATCCTTCTGGCGTCCTCTGCCCTTGTGAAGAGGACAACGGCCCTCGCGTTCGGCTTCTTGCCCAGCCTCTGGATGACGTTGTCGAAGACGCGGTCGTCGGCGGCGCTGGGCACCTTCTCCGCGGCGGCGATGCACACGTTCCTCTCGGTGGCCTCTCTGGTGAACACCTCGATCCCGTACTCTCCGTAGGAGCCCTCCGAGTAGACCGTGGACACGTAGGACCAGTTGGCGCTCTTTACCACGTCCACCAGGGCGATGGATTGGAAGGTGTCCGGTGGAACCGTCCTGGCGAAGTAGTCGAACCTGGTCTTGTCGCTGAGGGCGGTGGCCGTCGAGGCCGGGGATATCTGCGGAATGTGGAACAGCCTCAGCAGGTTCGCCACCTGAAGGGATACGGAACTGTAGGAACCGCCGACCACCCCGAAGAGAGTACCCGCGCTCGCGGATTTCCGCACTCTGGGGGTCGACCGGTCGGCGCACTCCAGAACGCTGATATCCAGGTTGGACCGTGAGGCCCTAACGAAGTGGAGGCTCTGATTCAGCGCGTAGGTGTCCCTGCTGCAGGTGTCCAAGATGTGCACCCCCAAGGTGATCCCTGGAAGGATCTCACGCTGCTGGTTGATCTGGTCGACCGCGAAGAGCATCGCCTCCAGACGCTGGACTCCTCGGTTGTAGATCTTGGGCCCGCAAGTGGAGCCCCCCTTCTCGTGCACCGGAAACAGCCCTCCTAGAACAATGTCCCCCGGGATCACCACGGCCTCCCGCTCGGCAGGGATCCTGCAGCGAACCTCGTCTATTGGCGAGATCGTCAGCAGCAGCAGCTCGAGGATCACCGCCAACGAGGCCAACGGTCTCATCTTCAACGGTGGACCGGGCTGACCGAGGCGTCGAGATCAACGGGCGCCGACCGGGTCGGTCCGATTCGGGATTCCGATCACGGGTCCGGCGACCTGGTTCCCAATGAACGGTCTCCGCGAGCGAACTCGAAATCGGGTCGAACTGGACCTTCCTTTGCGGTGCAGGGTCCAATTCCAATTCCAATTTCAATTCCTCCGCTCTAGAGGGCTAATGGTCACTTTCGCCTGGACACGCTTGGCCAGCAACACCCTCTCGATTACACGGCGAACTCCCGTTAATTCTCTACAGACTTTCCTCGAAATCCGAAATTCCCCGCAGGAAGTTGTAGCCCTCGGCGGGCCAGTGGCCCACCTAATGGGGTAGAACGCCCCCGGCACGCGTTAAACGCATCGCCAGTCGGGCATTCGCGAGTTCCCCAGATCCTTCATCTCGGTTTCTCCGGGACACCGTCGTTCCTGTTCCCTGGACCAGGGAAGCTCTCCTCTGGATCTACCTTCTCAAAGATCCCAGGGGATCGTTCCGGCCTAGTGGCCGGCTTCTCCTGGACTTCATCGTGCACTCGTCACGTCCTAAACTCGTCCTTCCCGAGTCCCCGAGCCCTTCCTTATTTTCCGTCCTTGGCGAGCTCTACCCGAAGAAATCCGCTGCGGAGGCGGAGTGGCTGATCTCCTCGGATTTGAAAAAACCTCTCCGGGAGCGGAACAACCGGCATACGTTATCGATTAGGACTTGGCCGAGGTCACCGAGTAAGAAGGTATTATTTCTCCTGAGTAGCGACCTGGAAAAACGGCGCTAAGGACCTCTAGCCTCCAGAATCCTCCCTCGAGGCCTAGTTTCCTCGTTTCCTCTGACTTGCGACTCCCATCTCGAGGACCTGAAAACGCAATTCGGATTATTTTATCTATCCTTGTTGTTCCTTAAAATTAATTACAATAATCCGGCGTTGGTAACCGAATAGAGGTCGAACGTACGAGATATGCCAAATGGCGATACGCAAAGTCCGTAAATTCCAAGGCTCGATAACCCGACGCGCCATTAATTTCGAGCTTCCGGAACCGCGCGTGGATTTCGGTATCTCTTAGTCGGCTTCGAATCAATCGCGCGTCTCCCATTCGCGGCGTCTCGACGCCCGTCCCTTTATATCCGCTCCGCCTCCTCGAGATTAAACGCCCCGCTTTCCTTCTAGACGATGGGCTCGGTATTATTCGTTTCCGCGATCGTGCCTCGCGTATCCGCCTTCGCCTCGCTTTTCAGCGATTGCGCTCCCCGAGGCGGAGGAGAAATAAGCCGACCGGCTGGTATCTCGCAGTTGGTCCTGGCTGGTTGCAGCGTCGCTACGCTTCTCTGCAATTCGCTAAAATTCGCTACAGCTGCCGGCAAAGGGTGGCATGCCTCTCGCTCCCTTCCTCACCCTCCACCGCCTGCCACTTCGCGCTCGACCTCTCTCTTTTTGCCCCCTTCGATGCCGGCGCAACACTTTGCCAAATGAGTTCTAATTCGAGGCCCTTCAACCCCGACCTCTTCGTTTTCGGGTCCGTACCTTCCGGTGAGAACTCTCTCCCTTAGAGGAAATTCGAAACGCCTCTGGGATTTTTTTCCCCCCACGCGTCTCATTCTTCAAGCCGCACCCTGTTCGAGGACGTTAACATTTTTGTCCATCGAGTATCCATGCGCCGATGGGAATAACGTCTTCTTAGAATTATACCGAGACATTCGTACATTTTTATATCCTATTAAAAATCCAGGAAGACAATATTTCCATCGGTGCCCGGACAAGGTATGGTCGTGTGCGGATCGTTCTTTATAGACGCCTCGTCGACGTGTTCATTGACGTTAAATTACGCGACGCGTGATAACCAATGAACCTCCAGAAGAATGACGGGCCAATTAAGCCGGAACAAGGTGACGTGCAGGGCGGGGACGGGTAATGGCGCATAATTGCGCGCGCGAGCGACAAATGGCGGCATTATCGCCATTTTTAATCGTCCCCTAGGTCTGCCCCACCGGGCGGCGATAACGAGCGAATCGAGGCGTTATAGATGGGGCCGCCCTCGATTTGTCAATTTCGAGACTCGATTCCCTCAGCGTGCGACTCGACGTGAAAATAAATTAGCGATTGGAATTTCTAAAGAGGGTACCCCCCTAATCGGGGCGGTGCAGCGATTCTTATCGCGCGGCGCGAGAACTTTTAATTCGATCACCTGTCGAAGATCGATCGGCGCGGCAACGGGTTCCCACGACTGGCGCGAACCTCGTGCTCCGTAAAAAATAAAATCAACCCGAATAAGAGACTCTAAGACCCGAATTACCGTGCACCTCGGTGCAAACTTTCTTGCCTCTCGCCACGAGTCACCCAGGAAAGATCGATCGGCGTAGAAATGAATTTCCATGCCGCCCTACGGCGGCCGGCGTCGATACGTCCGAGATCGATACGTCCTCGGCGACTCGTCGAGGCGGTATCCGCCCTGGAATCGCTCTCCCTCTATCTCTCCCGCGCCCAGGACCTGCCTACCGAGTTGATCCTCGGAGGAGAACCTCCGAGTATTCGCGCAAAACAATTATCCGAAGTTCTCTGAATCTAACCGCGAGCCTTCGACGACCTGGCCAAGGACTTCGACGACTTCCTGCTGTTCAAGAGATCGGTCGAGGGTCCTCCGGAGAAGTCCTGGCACACATTCGCGACCTGCCTTCAGGGTGGTGTGCAACGAAAACAAATCAATATGGCGCTCCTCCCTGGCACGCTCGCCGCCTCGTGCTCCGAAATCGCTTTTACTTTCGATCGACCGTTGTACCTGGCTGTCCAGACGTTTGCAGGATGTTCCCGAAGTGTATCGGCCACTCCTTTTCCCGATCGCGGGGCGATCGACGAAGGGTCCTCGAGGTCCGCAGAGTCCGTCCGATGCACGCCTCCTCAGCCGTTGACGGGCGCAACTTGCGAATTCCGGTTAATTTTTCCTCCAGGCCGTATCCGCTGCTTCCTTCGGTCTACGTGTCGTGCGAAGGGCCACTTGTCGCGGTTAACATTGTCCGGTCGTAGCGATAACCCTTGACGAGATGCTCTTTGACGTCCGTAGGGTCTCCCGACGCGCGCCTCGCCGACTGCTGGTGGGCGCAACTCGTAGCCTCGGTTTAACGCCAATTGACGATTGTAAGGTGCACTCCGTTACAGATTATAACTTCTGTAAGGACCACTCGTCCCACTTAACGTCGTCCAATCGCAGAGATAACCGTTGACGGCAGTCTCCTCGGAGTTTTTATGGCCCCCTCGGTGAGCGTTTAGGACCTCGTCGACACGGATTCACCAGCAAGGGTGGTTGGCTGTTTCATCCGCGTCCGCCGTCGAACGCAAGACTTTGCCCGCCTTAAATTCCTAGTTACATCACTTATCTTATCAGCTACATTATGCTCCAGTTTCTATCGGCACTTACGAGCACCGGCGCGCAATTTCGACGAGCGCGTTCGACGTTTTCCGATCATCGATTCGGTCGCCCTTCGATAAAGCTCCGGTCAACCGGTAACGACTGACGTTCCTCGCACTCTCCCTTGCCGTTATCAACAAAGTACTGGAGGCTTCCTCCAAAATTTCGGTCGACGAGATCGCGATGATTTTTTTGCTTCAACCTCACAGAGATCTTCCGTTTCTTCCGGTTCGCCAAAATGTTCCCTCGGCACGCACCGCTTTCCAGAGACGTTTCCTCGCGTTTCCGCGTTAATTAGCGGCCGCGGTGGGTATTCGCTTAATAAAAAGACCCCCGAGAATTCCTCGAACTTCCTCTCTCGGCGATGATTAATAGATGAGGCTCTCGGGGGTTCGCTCGCGAGGCTCCCGTTTCCAGGCCGAGTATCCCTTCTATCGCGTTTTCGTGATCCTTGCCGGTTGGAGGTTAATCCACCGGGAGGGCGAGCTAATCGGATATTCGTCGGGAGGTTCCAGGTCCATTCGCATTAAACCGCTATGGAACCTCCTCCTGGTTATAATAAATCCTTCGGCCTAGCCTGATGCTCGCCCGGGCGCTTTGGACACGTCCAGGCTAAATTATTATTTAGACGCGGCACCACCCTAACGTACTTGGAGACAATACATCTACCCTGAATTATTACAGAAGTTGGGCTTGTTTGAAAACCCAGCCGTAAATTCACTCGAGGAACCAGCTCGAATCAACTTGGGCAAATTCGGCTCGTTAGGGCCTCCCACTCGTCCCGGGGTGTAATTAGTTATGTGCATGAATGGCTTTCAACCGTCGGATGAGCGCTGACGAGGCCTTTATACTCTAGGACTTCTGCTAATTTATTCTTCCAAATAACGGGGTAGTCGGCTCTCTTGGCATTTGCACGCGGCAAGAAGTCCAGGTGCGAACCGCATGCTCCGAGCCGTGAAAACAATTTAGCCCCGTCGATGTATTCGCACAGGTGTTCAATCGAGTCCCTTCGGCTGGATATCCCTCGGCGCAGAAGCAGTCCAGATGATTTATCTCCGTCGATATATTTGTTCCGGGGTTTAAGGGTCGCTCTCTCCAGAGACCGGGCACTAATCCACCCTCGATGAAGCGTTTGGACCCGCGTTTAAGTTAACCGTTCTCCTGGTCCGGAATTTCAGGGTCTAAGGAACACAAGCCGCGTTAAATCTCGCGGGCACCTTACATACATTTTTAATAAATTCGGCCATGCATTAGACGAATCCAAGTTCACTGAACCGTGTCAACGCATCCCGACCCACTTTCCGGGCACCTGAACGGCGCAGGAGTGGCCGGGGGTCAGAAACCAGAGGACGCGTTACTTCGAACTGATTTCTAGAAATGTCCTGACCGCGCAGGTACGAAGAGGAGCGGGGTTAAATGACAACGTTCAGAAGAATCGGTTCGCTAACAAATCCCCGCACGTGTTCGGACTCGGTCCCTCGGGAGCTGCCCATTGACCGGCCGGGAGGCTCCCCAGCCCTTCTCGATTTTCTCGGTCCTCGCCGGGTGACCCCAATCCGAGGGAAACGCCGTCGTCACCCTCATTTTCGTCGCTTTTCCACCCTCTCGCTCCACTTTCTCCTCTTTCGGGCGCGAACGATTTTTTTTTCCTCCTTCCCCGGACGGGTGCGCTTCGCGCCGAAATATTATCGCGTCGAGGAGGCGAGAGATCGATAGGCACCGGCCCCTCTGAGTTCTGCTCTCCTCTTTCCCTGGGGTATCGCTCGATTTCCCTCTTCCTAACCTCCTATCGCCCTCTCCCGGTCGTTTAAAGATTTCCCTCTCTCCGTCCTCCGAGGTATCCCGTCCGACGCGTTTTCTTTCCCTTCTTTTTCCCTCTTTCCAACCACTCTCGTCGTCCTCCTCCTTGGATCGGATCCGTTCGTGGGTCTCGATTTCCCTCCTCCTAGCTGCCTATCGGTCATTTAAGGACTTCCCTCTCTCGGACTTCCGGGTATTCTGGTCGATGCGTCTTCCTACTTTTTAGGTTAGGTCAGGTAATGGGAGGCCCCTGGAGATCCACCGATCGATCGCTGCGCGGCCAGAGCAAGATGGCGCGCCGCGCGGCCGGAGATCTCCTAGCGACAGGGGGCCGCGCCAAGGTCAGGGAAAAACCGCGGGGCAAGTCGCGCCGGGGGTGCCGACAGGTGCCGAGGTCCGGCGCACGCACCCTGACACGGCCGCACACCCGTCGCTGCTCGACTGCCCGTGCCCCCGGCCCGAGCTCGCGCCGAACCTCTCCCTCGATCGCGGATCCTATCCCCCTCGCGCGAGGGAGCGCGCGTGCTCCGTGTGCCCGCCGCTCCTTCTGTCTCTCTCCCGCCTAGGGGCTGCATCCGTCGTCGCGACGCCTTGCACCCACCCACTCTCCCTCCACGCGAGATGTTTAGTCCTCGGGTTATCTTTTTTCAGGACCGCCAGTCGTTCGCTCCGATCTTGTCGCATCTTCCCCTTGCACTTTTTACATCCCTTGTCGTCGGGTCGACCCCCGGCGTGGACCGCCCGCGTCGCGCCCATTCGATACCTCCTCACAACAGGTCGTAAACGTTTATCGCCCGGATTCTACAAACCGCACAAAAAGACCGCATTATCCGATCATTAGTTTCACCCTTAGCGGTCGTAAATCAAACCGTGCCCCCAACGGGTCAAGGTGATTGTAAGGCGCAATTTTTATAAATTGATATATACCCCTTTTCCGCCGTTTTCGGTCTTCCACTCGGCGTCTCCTTCTCTCGCCCCGCGGCCGAAAGAGCACCACTCGTCCTCTCTCTTGCCCTTGCCAGCTGTAACATCCTCGTTTTATTGCTCCTTTCCTTCCGTCCGAATTTGCGAAACGGCCGCAGTCCATTTTCCTTGCAATTCCTGTAATACAACGTACAGAAAATTAGAAAATTCGACCCCCTTAAAATTTATTCTTATCCTCATGAAGTATGAATTTCATCTCCGTTAACCGCTCCCTTTTTCCTCGACGTACCGGCGTAAGTGGATATACCGTGGGTAACAAACTCCATATAGCCGTGACGAAATAATGAACTTTTCCTCCCTTGCGGTAATTTTTTCCCAGGCTCCAGGTTAAACCATGGGCGGAGCGAAAAGTGAGCCCCATTACCTACGTCGAGTTACACTGCACCGACTGTACGGAGTATAATGTACTATGCATTATTTGAGACGTGACGCCGGTAATGAAAATTTAATTTAACGGTGGATGTCGTTCAACGCCGGATCTCGGAACCAAAACGTAAGCGTCGAGTCTATAGGCGAACCTCCTTCGCTTCTAGAGGTGTCGATAATTTTCAATTCTATGGTAGAGCCCGGGGAAACGAGAAATCTCATAGTACTCGGAAATTTCTGTCGCCTCGCTCGTTGCCTTCTTCGCGGTCTCATTTTAGGTAAATATCGAGGTCCGACTGTATCGCCCGATAATCGAGCGGATAATAAAAAGCGCGCGTCCTTCGGAGCTTTTCCTTTACTTCGGAGGATCGATAGACTCTACTTTTACCCAACGGGACAAGAACTGTCCACTCCTTTTTCATCCTTCACCAACAAACGGAAGTCGGCCGTCTCCTCGTACCTTGACGTTTTTCTCATTTCCAAGGTTCCCGACAAGAAGTCGCGTCCCGCCGAGTCACCGCTTCTTGTGGGACTTTTATATTCTCCCTATCACTGGTTCTTTGTAACTTCATCCGACGTTTAATGAGACGTCTTATCCGGAAGCAAGCGGAAGGAGGGAGTGCCGTCTATTTTTCGGACAGTGAACGATTAGTGAATTATCACCGCGATTCCGTCTCGTTACGATCCCACGCAATCTCACGGATTCATAGGACGATAATTTGATTTTTTCTGGCCGAATTAAGTTACGCCCTAAGGGGGGAATCTCGGGGGAAAAAAACGTACAAGATACTCACGAGGGATTCAATTTTGGCACGACAGGTACGCGCATAAGCGCTGCATAATAAATCTCCTCTGGAAGAAGTTCTGAAGTGGCGCGGCTGCGAGCGACATCTTGAAGTGTGAAGTGCCTACAAGGACAGACAAACGAGAGGTGAGCCCCTTCTATGCCACCCCCGGAGTTTCGGCGCTTCGGATGAATCCCTGGGCTCGGGAGGCGCGAAACGACTAAATTAAGAGATGCCGCCATCTTTTCACCCTCCGCTACGGGTCGAGCTCTAATTGCGCAAATTTTATTGTCCAATGTTAACTGAAGGAAAAGACCCGCCGTGCTTTTCTTGAGATTTTAATTGCGCGAATTTTGTCGCTCGTTATAACACTCGACGCAAGTGACGCTATGTCGGTCAACTGATTACTCGGGATCTGCCGTGCCACGAGTCATCGAGAAACTTGAGAAAACGGTCATAACTATCGAAATATAATTTTCTGGGAATACCTGATAACGACCATATAAATAATTCCTCCAAAGGTGGATTATCGGAGCAGCCAATGCTGTCATGTGTAGATTTAAAGATGCCTTCCATTTTGGAGAACTTTTCCTTGATTTCGGTGGAAAATATCCCAAAAATTAGATACGGCTACTTGAGAAGGGGTTAAAGTATCGCGCGAACGATGCTAGACCACTCCGAGTGCAACTGCAGTTGAACGGTGTTCCGATTGGTCGGTTTTCTAACCGATTCCTTAAAAAAGAACCGTTTTACGTGCGCGCAAAGCGTTGAACCAATCAGGGCCTCGTTTGTGCCTACGGTCGCTCCGATTGGTCGGGCTCCGACCAAGCAACGTCTTTTCGACCAATGGGAGACGCGAACGGCGCGTCCTAATTCCGACGTGACAACCGTATGAAATTGTGTCACTCCCGCGTATGGTTACTCATGAAGTATTGGTTTTGGAGTGATGAATTTCTTTGAAATAAAAAATATTTCTTGATCAATAAAAAAATGGTAAATTCACGGAAATTTCCTTGACTCATCAACCTACGGATGGTGATTAAGCGAGAAGGTCGAACGCTGTGGCCGCGCGTAGGCGGAAACTAAAGATGGTGACGCGATTTCGATTTGACAGCGCAAGGGAGATTGATTCGTTGCTTAGAATTCGATAGATCTCCGCGTCGCTCTACTCACCAAGTGTCATTTGAGTGAAGATGTAGTTTGATTCGATCACCCTCAACGGAGAAATTAATTGTGGAGTGCATTTAACCGTCCTGGGTATGAATGGTCAGGTGCAGTCTTCGCGCGAGAGGTTAGGTAGGCACGGCTCGCTCAGGCTTTGTTCCTTGGAAACTGAAAAGATCAAAAAAGAAAGAGATCGATACGATTACTTGACACTGCTGACATAAAATCTCGTATATCACTTGAATTTTTCTCTGAATGGTTTTATCGGTCATATTTAAACTTCACCGTTTGCGAGCACTCCATCGATAACGACAAGGAAGCTGATAATATTGCAATTGAAATGCTTCTTGAAGAGATTACATTATACTTATTATTAGCTGTTGTCACTGTCAATTGGTGTGCATTTTACATAGAGCGATAACAAAGCACAAATTAGATTTGCACATTTTATTTAAATTAGATAAACTTGACAGCACTGTGAAGGATCATAAGATTAATTCATAACTTACAGGTAGTAGCTGGTTTAATGGGCTGATCAAGCCTGAACATGGGAGTATGCAACCATTGATCCCAGCAGTCCCCGAAAATGAATCGACGTACGATGACCACAGTATCTTGGCGGAGGTCGATGGCAAAGTTAAAACCAGGCTTTTGTCAATGTGGAACAATGTTAAATATGGTTCGTATCGATATGGTCCTTCACTTTGATTTTTAGTACAAGTGGGAGATAACTATCTTTCTATATTTCTTCTTCGTTTTAATTACCTATCTCAATTTTATTGTCATCAAGGATGGACCGTGAAAATAAAGACGAACTTCTCAAAAGAATCCCCAGTCTGGCTTCTTGGGTTATGTTACCAGAAAAAATCGGAGGACTCGCTGGAACGAGCCTCCGAGGCTGGGGTTCTCGACATGGAGACCGGTGGTAACGCGTCTCAGGAGGTGTCGTCCGGTAACCTCGAAGAAGGAATCGATGGTTTCAAGCCAGACTTCATCTCCAGGCTGTGGCTGACCTACCGTCGAGAGTTCCCAATTTTAACGGGTCCATCCACATCGGTCTATACGACAGATTGTGGTTGGGGTTGCATGTTGCGCAGTGGACAGATGATGATGGCGCAGGCACTGGTCTGTCATATTCTGGGCAGAGGCAAATATTCTTTCTCATTTTATCACTTTCACCGTTGAATTAAAAGTTGTTCCAATGACACAAATATTTAATTAACAGAATGGAGATGGAAACCTGATCAAAAGTCCATCGAAGATGCGAAGCATCGAATGATCATAAGGTGGTTCGGTGATCAACCGGGTTCTCGATCGCCTCTTTCGATTCATACACTTGTAAAACATGGGGAGGATTCTGGAAAGCGTGCAGGGGACTGGTATGGACCGGCATCGGTTGCTCACATCTTGAAACAAGCTGTCAACGATGCTGCTCTTAGTCACAAAGAGTTCTCAGAGCTGGCTGTATACGTTGCTCAGGATTGCGCAGGTACACGTCGTTACTTCAAGTCCACTGGCCTGAAAAAAATCTATTTCAATAAAACTTGGGCGAAAAAGGTGCGTTAAAACAAAATGTTATTAAAAAAATTATTCCTCAGTTTATTTAGATGACGTCGAGGCTGCGTGTAAAGCACCGGACGGAAGCTGGCGGTCGTTGATACTTCTCGTACCACTGAGGCTCGGAGCCGACAAGCTGAATTCCAGCTATAGCGGGTGCCTGACGGGTTTATTGACTCTCAAGGATTGCATCGGCATAATCGGAGGCCGACCACGGCACTCGCTCTACTTCATAGGGTACCAGGAGGACAAGCTGATCCACCTTGACCCACACTACTGCCAGGAGACCGTAGACGTTTCCAACGAGTATTTCTCCCTGACCAGTTTTCACTGCACCTCACCGAGGAAGATGCTGCTCGCGAAAATGGATCCCAGCTGCTGCGTTGGATTCTACTTACGGGACAAACAGTCCTTCGATGGCTTCGTCGAGAAAGTCGAGCCGGTTAGTATTTACCCTCGTGGTAGGAAGAGAATCCCAGGTCGCGATTTAATCTTCGTAAACGGTTTCAGTTAATTTTGCCGCAACATGACACCGTCAACTATCCCTTGTTCCTATTCTGCAACGGCAGCGGCGACGCGATTCGCCAATGCGTCGAGGCGGAGGAAGGTTCTCCGATGCCGTCGAGCCCGTCCGAAGAGGTGGACATCCTCGCGGACGATTCTCACCACGAGTGCGAGGAGTTCGAACTTCTGTGAACGATAAACAAAAACGGTATATCTTTGTAATATATCGAGCCGCTCGTATTGTACTTAAAAGGATCGACGAGCGTCTCTCCGGCGCCGTTATATATAAGATCCTTCGGCTATTACTTATCGTTAGCTGTCCCGGCGACTGGAATGTCATCCGAACGATCGTTCGAACGATTCGCTCGAGTGCTACATACTTCTAGATCATATCTAGACTAAAAAAGGAAAAGGGAAAAAAGAGACTAAATCGCGAATCGATGTCTTCGCCTTGCGCGCCGCGAGGTGTCCGTTGAAAGATAGTCTCAACGAAGTCGATGGGAGGAAATCGCGGAGTGCTTTCGTTATCGCAGTTTAATGTCACCTATGTCCCTCGTGTGAGCCTAAAGAGAGAAGGGCACCGATTGGCGCGAAGAATTTGGAAGGGCAAGAAAAAGAAACCGATAACGCGGAGACTGAATTCTGCGAAAAACTGATAGTGAAATTAATCTAATTCGCCGGTGGGAGTCGCGTTCGTTTGCAAAAGATCTTATTCCCCCCACCTTGCGGCGTTTTATAGTAGAAGCAACAAGTACTTATTATACTCGTAAATTATTTATTTATTATCGATCGGTCGCCTCCGTGATCGTTATTTTTTAACACGCGTTCAATTTAAGCTAACTCGAAGATAAGGTGGATTTAAGAGAGAGAGAGAGAGAGAGATACGAGAGGACCGATCATCCGAAAGAATCAATTTTCACTGCATATGATTTGCATTATACACGGATTGAATACGTAGATGAGTTTGTTTAGGCGATTGTTTTTTTTTTTCCCCGAGAAGATTAGTTTGCAAGTCGGATAAGAAATCGAAAAGGAAAATCGTGTAAACGTTTCCGAGAACTAGTAAGTCCCGGTAGCTGCGCATCTAGCGTTCATGATCTTCCTTAGTAAACATGTAATTTATGAAACTGTTAATAAAACGTAGTTCTACTATGTTTTATTTTTTACGGCCATTCTGGAGTGGCATCCTCCTGCTGAAATTAAAACCTTGGATCTTATTTTCCTAGCCAGTGGGAGACGAACTACAGAAGACACAAGAAATGTGAGAAATTGTACTAAAACTTCTCCTTATATATAACCTTGCGTTACATTTTATGATTCGCGTTCACATCACACATTATTACAAGTTTCTTGATTTGTTATCATGCAATACACAGAAACCTCGTAAATGGAAAATGCGATTCTTACAATGTTATATCCTGTGTGTTCAATTTGTGCGCTTAAGAAATACCGGGAAGTACATAAACGATGATTTGATTCTTTCAAGGGATACTTAAATCAGCACAGAAAAAAAAAATACAATCACGGCGTTAAAAGATTTTTGCAATTCCTATTTCTTATCGTTCTCTGTACGCAGCTCCATAATTAAAAAGTTTGCCGTTTCCACGATATCGAACTTCATAAAGCCTATATCGATTAATTAGAAAAATCGCCCTACAACTCGTTCGACCCAGCTATATGATTATTTCAATACAATTAAAGTTTGAGCTGTATTTCTTTTATACTAAATTCGCCGATCTCATACATGACGAATTAGGCCACTCTTTGTACGAGAGCTATGTACGAAATCGAGTTTATCTACGATCCAGATAAACAGTTTGTGCGGCGACCTGTAACTTTCCTTAACTCTATAAATTATAATAAATTACAAGGATATTACGTCATTCCCTTGACGTAGTTACTAAACAATTATTTGCATGCCTCTGTAAAATTCGCCTGCATCGAGTCTCAAACGTCTTATATATACATGTATCTACATATCCACAATATTAATTTCATCGGAGCTACTCACTGATAATGGAATCGGACTGTAACCCTTGAACATGAGACGACCGATCCCATTATCATTAAACCTTGCTCGCGATTCTTGACTAACACCTCACATGGTGCAAAAATCCTACAAAAGAAAAGAAAAAAAATCGCCTCGCGATAAAACTCATCGAAATACAAAGATAAATTCCTCGGATAATAAAAGGCTACAAAATCGGAATTCACCCGGTAGACTTCGTTACGTGACATCGATCTGTAATCTGACGAAAATGATCCCTTCGCCGCTTTCGTATTACTTAGAATGCAAGTTGTACCTTTGGTTCCCACTATAGATAAAAAAAAAATGACTGAACAACAGCACCTGCCGACTCTACGTGAAGTCCTCCTTGCAAATCACTTGTGCACAAACTTCGCCACGCATTCCTTAATTTTCGGCCACATTTCGTCGGTAGTGCTGCTCTCGAAGTCCTGGAGGACCCCGAGGTCCCTGTAAAACCGTATAACGGGCTCCGTTTTACTCGCATAATCCTTCAGTCGTTTCTTCACAATTTCCGGCTTGTCGTCCGCCCTCTGGCTCAGAGGCTCCCCGGTGACGTCGTCCTTTCCCTGGGGGAAATATTCTTAAATAACGCCTGCCCCGATGTTCCCAGCCAATTTTTAGTCAAGGGAAAATTTTTAGCTTCTCCTACCGGTACTTTTGGATCATTGAACCCGATATTGTACACCCTACCACTGGGCAGATGTACCCATCTGCTTTGAATTCTTTCCAGGATCGCCGAGTGAGGTACCACGAGGTTCAGCACCAGACTGACCGGATGCAACTTCTGCAATTTCTCCGCCTGCGACAAAGTCCTCGGGAATCCTGCAAACGATTTGTATAATAGATAAAGGTAGAACTGTGAAAACGAAGAAACGCTTGATTCGAAGAATCCCACCATCCAGCAGCCAGTTTCGTTCTCCCAGCGATTCGATCTCCTTGCCGATCAATGAGATCATTGTGTCGTCGGGAACGAAAGTGCCCTCGTTGAGATGTTTCTTCACCTCCTTGCCAAGTTCTAAAACAAAATTGCATGTATAAATATTTTCTAACGGACGCGTTCGACAAAACGCCCCAAGGACGCGAATTAACGATTCCGATAGCTTTTCGCTTAGGTCAATCCAATTAATCCGCGGTATTAGTATCGTACAATGTAAATTACATGGAAGCGAGCGCAAGGCTGCTCTGGATTTGATATTCCTGACCTAGAACGTATTATCGAGTGCCTGCTGTAACTCACCATTTTATAAATTACAGTACATGATCTTCGCTCCGAGCACGCTTCTACGTGATTGCGCTAATTTCTTGCGTAATCGCGATTCTTCTTGACTCTCGCCGATCCAACCGAGGTAAGTCGAAAAATCTCGGATTTTCCCAGCCAAATACCCACCGACATCCGATTTAAAAAGAAAAATCAACAATCTATCAACGGCGTTCGAACGTGACATCGTTTTGAAAATTACCCGCGAGAGAGAGAGCCCAGAGGAAAAAATTCGGAAGATTCTAATTGGCGAGATCGCCCTATAGTTCTAAGGGTGGCGCTGCGATCACGGAGAAGGTGGACAAATTCGCGCTAAATTTAAATTCGATAACTCACGATGGAAATAATCAATTCGATTGCCGATGAACCCGTATGAACCTTCGGCACATACCGGGCCGCTCGAAAGTATTAATAGTACCTAACCTAAAAGTAGAGACACTTGGCACGAGCGTAAGGCGCAGCAATCCGACCGGAAATGCTCCACGTGACCACTCTACTCGCGAAATTATAAATGCAAACGTCACCCGGCGATATACATATCGCGTCCGTCAAGGCGACGCGAGAAGGGAAATTTCATAGAGTTGGAAAAAATACTAGACCGAGCCGACCGACGTCTCGGGCGGGACGGACGCGGTGGCTGCACCTACCGGTATTATTGGCCGCGTGCAAGCGTAACTTGTCTCCGCTGGAAATGTGCACGACGCCGAAGTTGTCGACGATTCTCGAGGAGACGGTTCCCTTCCCGGAAGCCGGGGCGCCCAATATCACGGCCCTGAAGGCCGCGACCTTGGCGCGGCACGTGGACACCGCCACCATCTTTTTTATCGGACTTTGACAAGATGGCGCCGACAATGGCCGCGAGTCGCAAGATGCCGCGTAGCGCTCTACGATGTCACACGCTCCACGGACGCGACCGTACTGATGAGTCGCAACTAAGGCCGTAATTACGACGAACCACAGCGACGTCGTGATAGTCGAGATTGTTGACGTCGACGCCATCGGCGACAGTCGTCAGCGCAAAGTTCGACCCCCGATAAACCGACCTGTCAACGATTGACGACCGAAGCCGGTCTTTGAACGCCATGATCAGTGTTGCCAATTCCAAGCCCGTGAATTCTAATAAGTTGGCAACATTGGTCATGGCGGCACGCTCAAAACTCCAAGCCACGGATAAATTTCAGGTGGCTTAGGATGAATAAATACGGATTTGCAAGTGTATAAGTAATCCTACCTTGTTGAGAGCTCCGTGGAGACCGTGACGCAACCGTGGCTAACGTTTTGTAACGAGCAATCGCGAGATAACAGGAAATGTTTGAATAGCGTGTCCATTAATCCTTAACTGTTAAGGAAATTTTACGTGTTTCATTCGAACCGACTAATTTTCCAAGTCCACGAATATTGACAAAGTAGCACTTTTATTCATATGAAAAAGTAATACAACGTTCGGGCCTGGGTTCGCGATCTTCCAGAGTTCCTAAAAGACATCCGTAACAAGATAACCGAAAGGCCCCAAAGTGTGTCAAGACTCCACGTGTCCTATTAGACGTTCGATCGGCTGGCCAAGATGCAATCTAACGAAACCCCAAGAAATCCGTTTCGCAATTTCATCACGAGACAAAGGATTCTCTCCCTTGTTTCGCATCGATCGTATGACAGCATTGCAAAATCTAATTAAATCCAACGTTTACACGATAGAAAATTACTATTACATTTATCGTTGCGACTAATAAAATATACTTTAGAGGTGTTTATTCTACCTAGTAAAATTTATGTGCAAATTCAAATATTATTTACATGATTCACTCGATTACCGTAAATCACAAGATCCTGAAGATTATTTAAGTAGATTTAAAAAGTTTTGCAAAGCACTGTACACCTGACCACACATGAAACCAGTCACCTCAAATACCTGCGATTACACCAAAAGCATTCGACCTCGGAAAGTGATTAACGTTAAGTAGCACCGAACGACATCTATTAACACAGTATTCTTACTCAGACTTTGACATGAATAAACAAAATGTCCCTTCCAGTAAATTCGTTAACCTACAAGCACCTATGCTAATTCGCTTTTTCGGGGTTTTCTTTTTCTTTCTTTCAACTGCGTTCTTCTGGTTTTGAAAATCGGAATATTTATATAAAATTCATCGATCCATACCATGCACGTGCTTGTCAAACTCACCGTTAAATCCTCTCCCTCCTATCCTTAATTAGAAACCAGTAATGCAAAGATCGGTGGATACTCAGCTTGAGCATACCCTATACCTAACTCTACATTACTCTATACTTAACCATAAGAATATTTAAACTTAGCTGGACTGCGTTTAAAAAAGTTCCTAACTCCCTGTTCAACCTCGCCTACTTTTTAAAGTAATCGTCGATGCTCTCAGTTACCAGCTTTCCTGTTCGCTCTACTCTCCGTAAAAATTCAACCCACTACCATTTTCAGTTCCTTTGTACACTTCCGCTGGCATTTCGAATGTATTTCTGAGGAAAACAATAGTCCTACTCTTGCGAGTCACGGACCACGGGGTTTAGAAAGGGTTCCTCCCTAGGAACATAGTGCACGGTGAAAGGCTTTGTAAAGAAAAAAAAATACATTATCTGGTTATCGATACTATATCAGCTAAGACTGCGGTCGTCTACTCGGACTTGGACACTGCATTTCATCCCAGTAACCAAACATTCTAATCGACGAGGCTGCAACGAATTACATTCTCCAAATAAAACATCGAGCACACTTGTAAACTTGGTGACAGCTAATCCTTAGAGATCTTAGCAGTGTTGGACAGAAAATGCGAGGCATAATTTCACCAGAAAATAATTAAAGCCAAGTAAACGACCGGCGCTAATAGTGACAGGTATATATGTATATGTATATATGTATCCTAAGTTAATCAGTTTCTTTCTTACAGCGAACCTCGGTCAGACTATTGGAAACTCGAAAACCCATTCGACGACGTATTTCAAATGGTACGCAAGGATAAGTGTCGTTGTGTTTACGCACGTTTACCTCGTGTAGCTGCTTGCACACCCAATTAGTTTATACCGGCGAGTGTACGTATGTTTATTCAATCGGTATTCAAAGGACCTCTGGTCCTCTACCAGAGCTCGCCATCTTTTTCCTTAGCAGGGACCTCTATTACTCGAGGCTTGTCAATTATTCTGGCTGTACGACTCCCCTTCTCCACGATACCGATGATCCATGCTTGATAACCTTCCTGTTTTTCAATGTCCTTGCAGTATGCAGCAGCCTGAGAAATAAATGAACAAAAACTTTGAGGATATCACTCCTTTTCAATATTTACTGAAAGAATCCATTAATTTGAAATATCCTCAATTTATTAGAAAATAATTTGTAGAAGATTTAACGAACTGCCAGTACTATGAGAGCAAATGCAGTATGGGATTAACCTTCTGATGTTAATCTACCTGCTTTTCTTTAAGGCATTTCAACGTATTATAAAATACCTTACTGTATGAGCAGGTAAACATGAAATGAAAAGTTAAAAAATTACCTGTTCCCGAGGGAGGCATATGAGGAGTCCTCCGCTGGTCTCTGCAGAGTGACCCTGGAGAAGTTGGAACATGTTGCCACAAGCTTTCGCGACTGCAGCCATTTTTGCGATGACGGGTAAATTGTGAATAACAAAGGACACTTCGTTTTTTTGATGCTTTGCCAAATTCTGTGCATGCCCGAGAAGACCAAAACCTGTGACATCTGTGGCTCCATGGGCATTGTATTTGTGCATGAGACGTGCAGCTAAAATGAAACATACGATAATAGAATTTTCTCTAATAAACAGTAACAATTAATTATTTAATAATTTCTACATTTTAATCAATTAGTCAATACTTGCCTATTCTGTTAAGCCTCGCCATACTATCCATGGCACGCTGGTAGGCCTTCCGAACATCGTCTTCACTTACGACGAGTTTAATTCTATTCCAGCGGTCTGGTTGATCCAGCCACTGATGTGCATTCACAGCGACTTGTGTACCTAGTGGCTTTGTCAGTACAAGGACGTCACCTACCACGGCATTGTCCGGTCTAAAATTGTATGTGCATATAATCGACTAAATTATTTGTTACATTAACAATTATTTAGATGAACGTTAAATATTTTTTCCCCAATAATTACATGGTTTGATAAATAATATAGAAGTATGCTTACACAATGTATTCATTGGGTTGACAGACCGTTGACGCAACGCCTCCTATGGTACACCATGGATTAACGACGGTTTGGCCACCTGTCACGGTTGTGCCAGCTTCCAGTGCCGAGTCTTTGAAACCTCTCATTATTAATGGAACGACGACATCCCGCTCCTTCTCCGTCATTTTTGTACTCACGCCAAGCAGCATTAACATGTTGTCGCACTCCGTCACTCCCATGGCATAAAGGTCACTGATGACATTGGCGCATGCTATCTTACCTAAAACAATTCTCCAAAAATTGCAGTCAGATGACGCTCACTTATTTTCATGTCACCTAATTAAAAAATTAATCATTTCTGTATAATTTTTTTTTTACTATTACAAATTTTGTAAATGTCCCACATGGAAATTTTGAAGCAGCATTATCCACTTTATTACCAATTGTTGATTCTTACCCATCATGTATGGATCGTCAACTAGGGGATAGAAGAAGTCTGTGGTTTGGACAAGGCTGAGACCCCCGTGCCTCAGCGGAGTTACGGAGGAATCCATACCAATGCCTGCAGCGACAAATAATAAAATACATTACTTTACAATTTCCACAATTATGATCACACAAAACCGTACCACATCAACGTGGAACTTTCCATTATAATTCCCAAAAATTAAAATTTCACTGACGAAATCGGAAAAACGTGAAAAAAATATTCTATACTTGAAAACCGGTGCCACGTGAACGATTCCACGATTTCACGCCAAAAATCTTAATGAGAACCGCTGAGGAGCTTCCGGTGGCGTGGGAAGAAATTCGGCGGGAGCGAACCAAATAGCGGCCATTGTTCCAAAACCAGCTTTTCATATTTTTTCGACACAAAACCACCCCCTTCCCTGAACTTTCTCCCTCAATTTGAACTACGTTTTATTCTTCTAACCTCCGTGTAAACTCCCTGCCGGTCACCGGCGCCATATTTCTCGGATAAAATGCCGACGTCGCTGGCATCGCTGCACCGAGTACCGCCGTCATATCGCCCTAATCCTAACCTCTATCCACTTCAAAATATCCAAGCTATAAATATAAATTCACGATTCAAAGGGAACGAAGGCAGATCTCGAAGAGAACACGAAGTGCGCGAAAGGAAGATCACCACAAGTGGCGCATGGCGGTACCGATCCCTGTCGCAATTCCGCGCACCACGATTGGTCGATTTCGGAACGCCGGATGCTCTAAAAGTTCCCGACGAGCAAAGCCACGAGCACGGAATATCGGAAGAGCCAAAGAACTTACCGATGCGCGGAATGGCCATGTGCATAAAGTGGGCATGTTCGTGATCCTGGGCGCTTCCATCGTCGGCCTGCAGTCCCTCGAGGAGTTTCCCAAGAACCTCCTGAGGGACCTTACACCCTCATCCTTTTAGATCGGCAAACCGAGTCAGACGGAAGGTCGCGTCCAGGTCATGCGCCACCGGGTCGAAAGGCCTGCGCAACGCCAGGGCGTTCGGATTGCCACCGAGCTCGAGCTGGGCGACGGAGAGCGCATCTTGCGTTACCGGTGTTCCTTGGAGGTCGGCCATCTTGCCGGCAGGGGGCGGGCCGCGTCCCTTGCGCGCCGTTGCCGCTGCCGCCGCCGTCCAAGCGTCTCCCTTCTCCAAGAGGAAAAAGCCGGCCGGGTTCTCACGCCGCGCGCGAACGAGTCTACCGCACGGGAATGTCGCGGGCTCCGACGAGTCGTCTCGACTCGCCCCGGACAGACAGCCACTGGCCACGGCGCACCCGCCGACCGCGCGAACTCCCAGCGAACCTGAATTATACACGGACCCGAATACGCACTTCGCACCGGCGTCGACTGACCGGGATCGAGCGCGTCGACAAAATGGACGCCGCCGGCTCGGCTCAGGGGAATTCGGGCGCGCGACGCCAAGGCCGAGCCTCCCTCCGCCAAGCTGGATCGGGCCTGCCTATTGGTCCGTTCGAACTCGCGCGTGCGCACCAATCGACGCGACATCAGCTACGGCAACCTGCCCGCATCGGTCGACCATGGCCGCGCGCGAGCCTACTCGAGCGCCGCGCAGGGTCGGCGCGCGCATTCCGCGAACCACCGGATCTAACCTTGTTTCGGCAAGGGGGAACGCTGGAATGTTGCATTTTTTCACCCCTTCTACTTCCGATCTAATCGAACCCCCGTCCCGAACGCCGAGATTTCTTAGTCTTCGAGGTGAGAATTTATTAATCGACCAAGAACGAAAACGTACCCGCAGTCAACGGCCTTTGAAATAACAATTTTACATTTCTCTCAGCTGCTTCGGCAAATTCGCGGCGGCGCTTCACCGTTGATTTTTTTTGCTCTTAAAACGAAAACGAAGCAAAAGGAGAACGAGACGTTCGTGGGCAATTGGATTTTTATTTATTCATCGAGGTTGCGGGGCTCCCTCTAGACGCAGCCCTGAGGCGGAGTCGCGAGCCGCTTGTGATAACTCGACGAATCGCCCGGTTACTAACGGCGTACGTGGATACACGTTTTGCATAGTTTTGAATTTTAACACGTCATCCGTAGTCAATGAATTTAATAATTGACGAAATTGTGATTTTTCTAGGAGGATGTCTCGCAGGATGGAGGTTTTTTTTTTACGATCGGAGGACGCCGGATAGCCGTGCGCGGAATATTCGCGCGGGTCGTGGATCTTCGGAGCAGGCGGGAATGGAATGGGAGTGGACGGCGGCGCTGTACAATGGCCGGCATTCTTGCCGTACAGTCGTCTGCGTTACGAGGGCGCTAGAGTTTCCTTCGCCTGGATCGAAACGGTCGGTAAGGAGTCGCTCGATATCGAGTTGATGAAGATGGCACCCAGGATGGCGCTTTGGTTCGTCGGTAACGAGGAGCGCGCACCTATTCCGCAATCCGGCCAGGTGGGTAGCGCATTGGATGTCTCCCCTCCATCCTCGGCGGTCCTTGCACGCGAGGCCGTCGACTCTCGCATCGTCTCGCTCCCGCTCGCGATTATTCCCAATCGGTTCTCTTTTTCTCGCTGGAACTCGTGTTTGTTTCCAGGTACCGAGTCGTATCGGTGCGTTGGCTGGCCGCGAGTCCGCCGATCGATCGCGCCTTCCTCGGCCGCGTCGCCAACGACCGTCAGTCACGACCCGGACTCCACGACCAGCGGACGGTCCGCGACGGAAGTCGCCGCCGATCTCGCGAGAGCCTAGGGCGAGACGACTCCGAAATGCAGGACACGGATAACGACTCGTCGGGGGCCGTGCTCCTGAACACCTTCGTCATCAAGAAAAAGAGATGCAGGGTCTATTTTCACCGCGGCACCCTCATCTGGGAGACGGAACGACCACCCTACAGTAAGTCAAACACCTGACCCTCTCTCTGGGTCATTTTAGGAAAGAGAGAAAGGAAAGAGGAAGCAGGTCGAGGCAGATCCAAAGGACTCGCGAACCCCCGTAGATTTCAATTCGACCATTTTGCAGAACCTCGCCGGACTGTGGAAAGTGCAATTCGCCCGGGTATCGGAAATCTAGAATTGTCCACGAATTAGAAAGCGTGCCTGGCGAGGAAACTTTGTCCCGTTCTTGCAAGAATGTGGCACCCGGTTCTCATTCTTAACGCGTTAATAATTGGCCCTGTTTCTTTACCGGTCTAGCAATAGCGCGCTACTTGGGAGTATTTTGCCATGTTCAGCAAAGCGATCGGGTGAGCGTTAGCGGTGAATTTTGAGACTGAAGGAAATTTAAACCACAGTATCTGGAGCGATACGTGGCAACTAGGATGGAGATTATTGTCGATATTTAGAATAAAAAGGCATAGCACAATAGTGACGCGGGTAGCTCGGGGCTCGTTCCGTCATCGAGATGATGCACGAAAACATTTCTTATTTAGAACGAGGAAGGTTACAAAATTGTACGCGAGATGTTTCTCAAACATCCTCAAGTGGTTTCGGAATTGACGTCGACGGTGAGCTGGCAAGAGATTCGAAAAGTCCGCTAATTTTTTTTTTTTAATTTTATTTTCGCAGCGTCGACGGCCGTGGTCATTAGCCGGGCATCTTTTCTCTTTGTCCGATCTGTCGAAATTTCCGATAATATCTCAAACATCGGGGAAACGATAGCTCGGGATGACCGACGGTTGTCCACACGTGATCCGCCGTGTCAGGTGCTAGACCGTACGTGCCAACGCCAAGAGTCAACGAGACATTCACGTCCCATCGTTAATGAGTGTATCCTCAAGAATGACGCCTCACAAGCGTCCTGCATTTTCACGTCGCGTCCTATTTTGTACGAGCCTCGAAAATGCAAGACTCATTCAATGGCCTGCACGTCGAGTTTCTTTGTCTCGAACCGCGTGATTAATGTAAAATTCCCCCTAAGCGAGAAAAGCAGGAAATTAAAGCGCGTTCCCGAGTACGACTCGAATAGCTCACGAGATAATTAGATGATTTCAGACGATGACGAGTGACCTCGGCTCGAGTTCGGTTCCTTCACCTCCTGGCGAAGTGTTCGTTTCGACGTTTCGCCTAAGGACTCGGCATCCCGTTGGCTGGCGACCGTGGAATTTCTTTGGGAAAATGTCAAACTGGTTTTTGCGGCGCAATGGAGACGCGTTAGGGACGAAGCCTCCAGGAGTTGAACTCGCCGATGATTCCTCGGCAGCTCGCGGACGCAGCTACAAAGTCCATCGTTCTGCAACTCCTCCGTACTTCTCGGTCGCTCTACTGGCGGGCAAAGTACTGGCTTGAATGGCGTTACATGACCCGCGTTTACGTTACGCGTGGCCATTGTCAGAGAGATGTGTGCCACCGCGTAGGTAATCTAATCGCTTGTAAAACGAGTCTCCAGAAAACGACGCCGCTACTTCATCTCCCGGGGGACTCGGCGTTTGATTAATCGGAGCACCAGCGAGTTGCGTTAACGAAATGACACGAGCGAAGCGGAAGATGCGGGGAAAAAGAAAAGGAGAAGACCATCGGCCGCCACGCGGGGCCTTGACACGCTTCCCCGCCGAGGATCTACGATCCTATGTGAAAGACTCGTGGGAGGAATTTCACATTCTGGCTTAAAACCCGACTTTGACGTTGGAATAAATTCCGCGTTGCGAAATTCGACGGTAAAAAGTCCTCGAAGACGGTGGGAGAAATTGGACCTCTACTCGGCTCGACGAGTGCATTACCGGTGGATCACCGTACCCTACCACCTGGATACATCGATACGAATTGCGATACTTTTGTCCCTGAACTCGTCGCACCTCCACGCGAATTCGCCCTCGAAGGCAATCGGAGGAATCTCTCGGGACACGCGTTCCGAACGAGCAAACCCGTTTTTCCTTGGCAAACGGACTCTCGACTAAGAATGATCCGCGCAAAATTGGCATTGAAATATATTTTTTCTCCGCTGGTTTACCTTTCCGCGAACCCGCGAGATAGGCGTTCTCTCTACGCGTGGTTTGATTAACCGCGGCCTTATCAATGGAAGGTGGCGATCTGCGCGCGAGTGCACTTGCACCGAGGACTCTTGCAATTCGCGCGCATCTAAATTTAGCGAGGTTCGTCGACTCGCGTCCAACCGTTCCTACCGATCTACCGCGAATCTTTTCTCCCGGGAAAAAAATTCTCATTAATTCTCCTTATGGGAGGGAGGAAGCAACCTGGCTCGGAAAAGAGCGCGTAGAAACACGGGATCGAACTTTGCTCCGCACGGAATAGCCTGCGTTTTTGTTCCTTTTCTTTCGAGCGTTGCAAGTTTCCCCTCGGGCGTCGATTACCACCCGAGAGAGAGAAAGAGCCGGCCCGCAAAGAAATAGGGAGCGTTACGTTGCTCGTTGCGAAATTATTGCTGCGGCTTTTTTATGCCACCGCGGATACGAGTAGCGAGACTCGCTGTAAAATTCATCGGAACGTCCGGCGGGGCATACAAAGAGCGCGGTGTCCTTCCGCGAAAGACCTCCTTCGACCGATAACTCGCCGTTTCATCGGCGAGCCGAAATTAAAAGCCGCGATTTTCATCGCTCGCGATGACGGACGATACTCGGTCCGGCGATTTCTATCGCGCGCTTTTTACATGCACGCTTTCCTCCCTATCACACCTGGCATGCATCGCTCTTATCGACCTCCGCGGGCATTTCGTGAAAATCTTCCGGCGCGATCGAGTCCTCCTTGGTATCATTAGACATTGTCCTTTGGATCATTTCGATGACCCGTGTTCTGTCGTTTCAGCGAGGTGGACGTTGCCCTTGACCGACGCGTTGGCAGCGAGATTCGCCGATGGCAGCGTACCCATTTCCCCCGAGAGCAAGGAGAAGCAGTCGTCACCTCCGACGTCGTCGCCGACGAGTTTCGTCCTACATTACGCAGCCCAGGGCCCGAAGAATAAGTGGAGTCACCACACGGTCACGATGAGCCACACGGAGCCTCGCCAGGTCGCGTCCTGGGTCAAGACCATCAGGAACTACCTCAAGAGTGAGTCCTTTGGACGCGACCGTTCCTTCGAAATATATCGGTCGCTTTCGACTCGTACGGCAGGATTGGCGAATGGGGAAGAACGTGATATATCTATCGTGATGTCAACCAGGAATTAAGGACGATAAAGACACGGAATGCGAATTAAGACCGCGAATACGGAAGCCCGAACGGCACGATCGAGGGACGAGCCGGACGTGCTCCGCGTTGTATAATGTACAACCCGCGTGGCCTCGGGTGCCGTCTTCTCCTATTTTCGTGCTCGTTATCGCAATTACCGCGACATCGACGTGCCGATTAGAGCAATACCCCTTCCGGGTACCTGGTGTGCCCTTGATTTGCCTCGAAGGGCCTTGAAAGGGCCCCAGAGATGGTCCTCTCAAGGTCGGGAACCGGAACGTCGGACGCAAGTTTCCAAAACCTGATCCAAGCACCGCGTGAGCTCGTTACCGACCTTGATATTTATTGGAATGTGCGAATGGTTCCAGACATTAGTCAGCGGCCGAGGAAGATATTGATCTTCGTGAACCCCTACGGCGGCAAGAAGAAGGGCCTAAAGATCTGGGAAAAGGAGGTCCAGCCTTTGCTGAAGATCGCGGAGATCGAGAGCAGGGTGATAGTCACCGAGAGAGCTGGACACGTGCGCGACACTTTGCTGACTACCAACTTGGATGATATTCAAGTTTGGACAGTTTATTATTCTTCGGATATTGTTACGAGTTGTTTATCGTGGTATGAAAAATATTTAATTTTTTTTTTTCAGGCAGTGGTGTGCATCGGGGGTGATGGAACGTTCGCAGAGGTTTTTAATGGATTAGTCTTGAGGACTGCCAAGGATCATCGGATCGATCCCAATGACTCGAATGCTAATTTTCTTGTGCCGTCGCTTCCTGTCGGTGTCATTCCCAGTGGAAGTACCGACACCTTGGCTTACAGTCTGCACGGCACTACGGATGTAGAAACTGCCGTCATACATATCATCTTTGGAGACACCACCGGCCTAGATCTCTCATCTGTCCATAACAACCGATCCCTTCTGAGGTTATATGCCAGTGTTCTGAGTTATGGATATCTTGGCGATGTCATCAGAGACAGCGAGAAGTTTCGTTGGATGGGACCACAGAGATACGATTACTCGGGTAAAAAGATGGGATTTTGGATGTTTCATTGTAACAAGCTTTATTTAATTTTATTATATTTCTTGACGATGAATCTCGACGGAATAATAAATTTCTTGCATAGGATTTAAGAAGCTCATGGCGAACAAAGGCTACGATGGTGAGATCGAACTTTTGTCGGACCCCTGTCATCCAGCCGCTAGCACGAGGTGCATGCAAAATTGCACGCGTTGCATTCAGCACATGCACAATAGTGTACCTGACAAAGAAATTACAAGTAAGGAATGGAAACATTAAGCAATGAAATACGCTGCAACGTATCGAGTGGTTACGGTATTATTTTTTCCGTTTTGTAGGAAAACTTATAGTTAGAGGGAAGTTCTTCATGGTGAATGGTGCAAACGTTTCTTGTGCATGTTCGAGGAGTCCCTTGGGATTTAGTCCACATTGTCACATTGGCGATGGATGTGTCGACGTAATTCTGGTTCGACATACTTCCTTCATCAACAATTTGAGAATGTTACTTAGGCTTAGTAGTAAAAACAAGACTCTCGTAAGTTAATTCAATATTAATTAATTGTTTTTAACATTCCATTCGTGTCTATGTGATTTTTTACCGAAGAGTCTTTTTACTTTTGCAGTATGATCTACCATTCGTTGAGGTCTACAGAGCAAGAGAATTCACGTTCCGGGCTCTCCCCACTTTGCACTTACAGTCCGAAAACGAAATTACCGCATCCCATTTACTTTCAGGTTTAAGTGTATGGAATTGCGACGGTGAGGTTATTCAGGATCCAAACGTTAAAATAAGGTAAAAATAGTAATGGAAAAAAAAAGGAATATTCTAATGGATCTAAACATGAGAAATGGAATCCACTTATAAGTGTCTTCTGTTCGCAGAGTACATTGTCAATTGTTAAAAGTTTACACGAGAAGGGTCCAAGAAAATCCCGATGAACCGTCCTGCTTCTGTTCATTGTGAAGTATTCCTTGGTACAGTGGAGACGAATTTTGGTAATCACAGCAGTGGCCCTAAGTGAGGGATGTACTTATAAAAGTACTTCCATATTTGTTGAACACCAATACCGATATCACAGAGTTCCTTAAACTTGCCCTGGTCTCTTTGCAGTGAGACAAAATATGCATAATGTCTCGAGAATTGTACTTGATAGGTGATGAAGAGACACGTTCTAAGTGCATTTATTGCACCGTTGTAACATTCCCAGCAAATCATTTTTCAGAATTCATTAGAAATGTCAGAATCATTTCTGGTGAAATGCTGAGAGGTTTACGTCTGCTTTGGAAACTCTCTTCGTCAGAGTTATTCAGGTATTAGGCTGCTAGTAACTGAAGACCAACACATAAGAATGCGTATTTTTAACGTATATTTTGGCACAAAAATGATTGCCTTTGTGCTCTATTTGATATTTTCACTGAGTCGTGGAGAATGAATACAATAAATTGATGACGATAAATTGAGAATTTCCAAGCCATATGGTGCAGTCGAGGTGGAATCAATTATAACAGCTTTTTCACCCTTCACAATGTTTAAATGCTATTGAGATTAACATCAATTTAACACTTTAGCGTCCATGACTCGTTTCACTGTTAAAAATGTCTAATTATAAAAGATAATTTTAACAGTGCGCACCTGATATAATAGTCTTCAATTATTATATTATGTTAATTGAAAAAACATGATACGTCCATGTCTAACAACATTGTTGTTAAACAGCCAGTAATAAGTTTAAGACGTTTTAGATTATTTTGTTTTCACTTGATCAGAACATTCCACTGTATACGTTATAGTCTGTTGGATGCTTTACCATTAACAGACTATCGTTGAACACGCTTTATTATTTGATCGAATGGTAGACAAAGACGAAAGAAGCTACGATGACGTTAGCTGAATTGGTATATACTTGTACATACATTTTTAGACCATAAGTTTTTCATTTAAAAATCATTCTACTATTTAATAGGAAACTTATGTATACAATGAACGGTAGTTTGGTAAGGTTTTGTTATGAAAATCTATGTTATTTTTACACTAAAAACTGTCTAAGAACATACCCGAGGTTGTGAGATAGGAAACGGTGGATTTAATTTTTGATATTTTTTGGTGGAACATAATTTAACAATGATATTAGGGTTGGCATTTAAGAATCAAAATATATATTAGTAATAATAAGCGAGGAGTTTTTCAAGCCAACTTCTCACAAAGTATTTGAAAAAGTATTTTTTGATGCTGCTGTATGTACACGGTCGGTCTGAATGACTTACAAGTGTACATGGTAGCAAGTTTAAATCCACGAAAATGCTGGGCGGGTACGCGCTGATTATCTCATTAAAAATTCTACCTTGCAGCTAGTTCGCGGATCGGTGCCATCTTTAGGGGATGGCACCGTTACAAACATTATGTAACGGTTATATTAATGTCACATAACCGTGTTTGGTGGGTTGTTACCGTTGAAGAGGGATGTCTCACGGAATTTCCAGAGAGTAGCAGAGGGAATCCTTACCTTGGATTTTACATCGAGCAACCAGGTGATGGCCGGATACTCTACGAGCTCTCAACCTGAAGAAACGAGAGGAGCTGACGACAAGACTGGACAATTTGTTAATATTCTTTTAAACGAGCTCAAAAATGTATGTACTTGCGGTATAGTACCTGAAGTATAATAAACTGTAAAATAATTAATGTAATAAAACAACTTAATGAACAATAACAATGAGTATGTTTAATTAGACAAGTGTGTCTACCAAACCCTTTAATCACCTATTCCTGATCCTTGAGAATCACTCGTACACCTAAAACACGAAACGTGGTGCCACCTCCTCGGTTGTCCTATGATCCTGTTAGAAATCGGAAATTTCAACCCCTAAAAGTTTTGCCCGGGAGACACTCCGTGCCACCTCCTCGGTTGTCCTATGATCCTGTTAGAAATCGGAAATTTCAACCCCTAAAATTTATGCCCGGGAGAAGGTCATTGCCACCTCCTTGGTCATTCTATGTTCCTGTTACAAATCGCCAGAGATGGAACAGGATCACAGGACAACCGAGGAGGTGGCACCGAGTTTCGTGTCTTCAATCTACGAATGATTTTCAAGGATCAGGATCAGGCGATTAGAGGGTTTGCTAGACATGCGCGTCTAATTAAACGTACTCATTGTTCTTGCTCAATAAATTGCTTTATTACATTAATTATTTTACAGTTTATTATACATCTGGTACCGCAAGTACATAAGTTCTCGAGCTCGTTTTTTACGTTACGTTTACGTTACCACACCAGGCTTCGCCATATACACGAGGAAGCCATTCATGACCGTCAGTAACTCATTTCTTGCAGAGATGAGTTGCGCCGCCATTCAGGGGTAATAGGTGACAAATACGTCAGTAGTCATACCGACCACCAGGAGGCAGCACAGACCGATCTCGCGACCCTACCCGTGAGCAAGCTCCCAACTCATCTCTGTCTCATGTTCTTTCTGCTGCTAGATTCGGTGAAACGCCTTTTCATCCAAATGGGGCTTCGTCGCGCGCAATTGCACGCAATGGCGGTCGGGATGGCGGCAATGGCGCCGTAACTCATTTTTCCGTGACCTTCTATGGCGTTGACAAGCTAACACGGGAAAAATGATTAATTCAAGAAAAACAATTAACAGAAAGTAAACAAACAATGCCGGTTGATATTAACCGGCTGACGGAGGGCTGGCTGGAACTCGAAAGCGATCCCGGTGCGTAACAGACAGGGAATCTCGAGATTTCCTCGGTAGCACCCCTTGTTCTCGCTTGACAGTTGTTTTTTTATGCAGAATTAAAAAAAATTTGTTTATTGGAATTCATGATTTTAGATAAGGGAAGTAAGGTTAGGAAGATTTACAATCTTTATCTTATTCTTTGCTTTACGAATAAATTGAAAACGTAAAAATTCGAGAGAAAAAATTGTATTAATTTAATTATTTTCTTTAGTTGCCCATTAAAAAAATTTTCAGTATTTTGAGAGAATTATACTATAGTTGGAAAAATTCAAAGTGCATATCTCAACAAATATCGATACAGTTTTAATAAGATTTGTGTAATTTTATGAAATTTGCTTCAGGTCTTTTTACGCTTTTATTGGAAGATTTTGGTGTAAAGGGAGTCCAGGTCGAAGAAATATATGACCTACAAAAGTCACTGGAAGGTCCTGTCTATGGATTCATATTTTTATTCCGTTGGATCGAAGAACGTAGATCAAGAAGAAAAGTGGTGGAGCAAGATGAAAGCTTTGTAAAAGATGAAGACATCGTTAACAACATATTTTTTGCACAGCAAGTGGTACCAAACAGCTGTGCAACGCATGCGTTGTTATCGGTTCTACTTAATTGTCCAAACATCCACCTAGGTACGACGTTGTCTCGACTGAAGATGCACACATCTGGGATGTGTCCAGAAAATAAAGGCTGGGCCATTGGTAATACTCCGGAGCTAGCTTGTGCTCACAATTCTCATGCCATGCCTCAGGCAAAGAGACGACAAGACAAAAACACTGGAGTCTCTACCGGCAGATTTACTGGTGAGGCATTTCATTTCGTTAGTTATGTACCGATCAATGGAAGACTTTTTGAGTTGGATGGCTTAAAGCCATATCCTATGGACCATGGTCCTTGGAAAGAACACGAGGAATGGACGGAGCAATTTAGGCGAGTGATCACAGATCGATTAGGTATGGCAACGGGGGAACAATTGCAGGACATTCGTTTCAACCTGATGGCTGTAGTGCCGGATCGACGCCTAGCTATATCTCACAAATTAACAATGCTGAAAACCAACAGGCAGATAGTCTTAGAGGCTTTGCAGCAACTCGTCAAACTGAGTCATCAGGATGGAACCGGTGATAAAAGTGGGCTAGACTCGGACAGGTCCATTGAGAAAAAGTATGATAGAAATAGGTCCGACGATGATCACGTTATGACAAAGTCAGAAATGGAGACCTCGTCAACCGTTCCGACGATCAGTGTGGAGAGATGTCATGAGTCTGCCGATGGCGAGGAATCATCTTGCATTGGTACAGCTGTCAAGACTGAAACTAGATAGTAAGTGCCCTAGTTACACAGTAGATGTTAAGTAAAAATCGAATCCTTAAAAAATAAACCTGGGAAGGTTTACTTTTATGTCAAATCATAATAGAATTTCATTAAACATTGACTAGTGGCATGGAGAAAGTTGTAATGTGTGCTCTGGATTATGCGACGCCACTTCGCATTCAAACGTCACCAGCACACAGCTCATCTAGCACGGATACTTCTTCGGAAATTGGATCTGCTTTCAATTCTCCTACACAAGGTACATGATCTTGATTACATATTGGCTTCTTTAGTATATTATTTATAATGCTACTAATAACGTTTGATAACAAAACGGCATAAATCCTTTGAGTTCTTGATCCAGGTGTAGTGGTTCCATTCGATAAGCTCGTTTTGGGACGCTCGATTTGTATTTTTAAGTTCTTATTGCGCGTCTTCAGGCGTAATTATTCTTGATTCCTCTGTACAGATTTGCTTCAAAGTACATACCTTCCTTTCGTGGCAAAATATCAAGCCATTTGGACAGGTCATCCTAATAGGGACTATTTCCGACGATCTACCAGACGACGAATAACACAAATAGTAATGAGATTCCGAAGTTGGGTCGCCATGCTTTCCAATCGTTTGACAAGGACTTCTTTTAGCACTACGGCCGGAATTTAATTCATCCATAGTTCTGTGGGAACCTTTCTCGTGATTATCGTTATCATTCGAAAAGCAATTCTCGTATTTCTTCACATCGCAAACCCTTCTATAGTCATTGAAAGCGGTATTAGGTGGACATGAAAAATCCACGACGATGGCGGTTTTGGGCTCGCAAATGTAATACTTAGTGCAGTCGGTGATGTTTGGCAAACGTGCACCATTTGTACACGGCAGTACTTCTATGTCATCCGAATCCAGATGATCAGCCAGTGTCCTGTACTTAGTAATAGTTATATACCGCGTACCACCTAAATTATCTTTGATGGAGACGATGCTATTCTCTGCTGCCTGCCCTTTGATAATTTTTTCTAACAATATTTCATGTCTCGTCCGATTATAATTAATATCCACATCCATCCCGTTGTTATTCTCGGTCTCGTTTCTGTTGATTATAGGATGTACCGATTCTGTTTCTTTGGAATTGGTATTTAAATTAATATTTCCCGCGTGATTTTCCAGAACATAATTTTTCATCAAGTAGCTCAACAATACGGTGTTCGTGCTATCAGCTGAATATTCCGTAACTTTGAGAGTGTTTTCTACAGATGGCTGTTCCGTTAAAGGACTATCCGTGCTAGTCATGGAAGAAGTTTGACGATAAGAAGTGTTCAATCCTTGATACACCATGAGTTCGCTAATTAACCGGCTGAACCACGATAAGTGGTTTCGCAGCTGTTCCGCATTAATGTGGCCAGATGATGATGGTACCTGATGACGATTCTTTAATAATTTCTGCAAGTCGTTTTCCACACTAAGCTTCATGATTGTCGGCAGATGTATATTCTGCATCATTCTGTTGATGTACTCTTGAAATACGTCAGTCTTCACCCCGGACTCGGTGACCTCAAGGAGCGGATATGGAGTCACCATAGATGGATGTTGGTCTTTTGTTAGAGGTCTTCGGTCAAAGGCTCCATCAATTATATGAGACGAATCGATGGGTTCAAAATCTGCACTGTTCTCGGTGTAGCCTAAGTAGCTGGTCTGATTAGGATCGATTAATTCTGGTGTTTTATAATTTTCCGTTACAACTTGTGTCTCCGGTCCGATGTCATCACAAGTCCAGGAATCGCCAGGAAGCACGCATATTCGTAACTGAGGCTGATACATCTGAAAATGTATATACGAATTTTTTTTTTCATATTTTATTTCCTCAAAAATTTATCTCCAGCCTTCTAACAAATTGTCAATACTCTTAAGGACGAATGGCCCGATATATATACCGATTACAATCTTTTGTTGACCTATTAATAATTGATTTCTAATCGGGAGTATTGGGTCAACATATTTACCAAGCCATCCGTACACTTGGCTGGCGCCCAAACGAACCCTCCATCGGGCAGATTAATGCAATTGTAAAATGTCGTGCAACTTGTTGAGTGAGGCTTTCTTGGTTCCGGGCACCTTGATGCACTCACTAGGCCGTTCTCAATGGAGATCGGTAATAAAAGAATGAATGCAAGCAGTGGCATTACGTTACTTGTTCGTGTTCCCTGCTCGACTGATCCACAGGGGCACCGATCTCTCTTTATATGTTTTTCTCGCGTTCCCTCGAGCAGTTAAGTCACTGGCATTAACACCTCTTAGAGTACAGTTAAGCAAAGTCCTTCTCCACTTTTAAACCCGTTGGAGAGAAACTGTATTCCTGTAGGATATTTGTACTGTTCGGGGTTGGGCACATTTTTCATCTTATGTGTCTTATGGAGGAGGTTTATCGTATAACTTGTACCACGCAGTAAATTGATTTTATATTGCACAGCATGGGGTTGGAATTCTGGCCAGAGCAGTCCCACGTCGACAAAGGATTTCAAGAAATTTGTTGTGATTAGAGTGGCAGGAGACGAAAAGAACGAAGCGGGCTTGAGTAAGAATCGGTTCTTTGTGCCAACTAGTTAAAAAAGGAAAAAATGAACCATTTATAATTTTAATTAACTCTCGTTTATACGTAGGTCGCTCCTTAGGCAATATTAACATAAACGGCAAAAGACTAGTTTCGGATAGTGGACATTTGCATAAAAAGGTATGCTTGTCTGGAGAAGTAAGGGTGCCACATGCGCGAGTGAAAACAAGTAACGGAGACACGGTAACGGAAGAGAAGAAAGTCGAGAAGATGGACCCGAAATTGTGCTCGAAATACCCAGAATTATTCGAACCGCATACATTCGCGCCTAAAGACCTCCTTGCTCTTCTTAAAAATCTAGAGCACGAGATCAGTATTTGTGAAAATAGTCTGAAGGACGAGAACGATAAGAGGAACAAATACAAGGTGCGTCCTCTGTTTATTATATTATACTTTATCGTTCTGGCAAACTTATTAGATCAAATAACTCACCTGGAATTCCAGATCGACGATTGTCGAAGAACACATAATTACGATGAATTTATTTGTACGTTCCTTTCGATGCTGGCACAACAAGGAAAATTAGCAGAATTGGTGCAGCAGCATTTAACATTAAAGAAACATACATCCGTGTCCGTCAACAGGGTACATCGGTATGTAACGTGTACTCTCTTGGTGTCTTTACATGTGTTTAAATATCAATTATTTTTAATGAATTTCTAGGTCTTCGAAGAAAACGGAAACCCGACAAAATTCTTCACGCAGACGTCGAGGAAGGACTAAATGTAAAAAACGGAAGTGAAATTAGTCCGTTAACATTAAAATGTCGAATCAACATCAGCCGATAACTCTGTAGTACCTCGTGCTCTTGGAATGGTTGGCGCGTAAGTTATCCTTCACTTTGAAGCCATCGGTCAAATTTAGTCATTTTCATCAGGATTTTGATAGCTGCACTCTATTCGTGTTTCGTCTTTTAATGTGTATCATAAACCCAGTAATCATGTGTCATTCAGGGCTCTATTCCAGGGTCATGTTTTAGCGATAGTTTCTTTTTCTATTGCAAATGTACAAATTAATTCTCGTGTGTATCAACGTTTACGATTTTACTATTTATACACATTTTAAGCGCCCCACAGAAACGCTATTTTGTTTTTATATTGCTTACACTTTTTATCGAATAAATCTTTCCTTGTATCGACGAGCTTCCGATGTTTTCTTGCTAAACAGCCTAGAAGATTGGAAAAACGAAGAACGTCATCAGGATCCTGTGAAAAACATTGAAAATATTTATTTCAATATCCATGTACAAGTAGACCACACGCTGTGGATATGGACCTTACGATCTACGTGTTTTTTTAATCCTTGGGCAGCCGGAGAAAGAAAATTTAAATTTATTGGAATCCTTGTCGTTCTTTTACGTCGTATAGGAACTATTATTAAAAAATCGCCCACTTACATCTCAAAGCTTGAGAAAATCCTTCTTCGGCAAACGTACAGTGCGCGCGACTCGTGTCGCTTCTTCCTCCGGGATACAGCCTGATGTCTATTTACAGAAAATTCGGGATTCTTGAAAAACATTTACAATGGAAACTTTTATAGCAGACACGGCGTCTATTCTTCGCGCTCCTTTTTACATGGTTCGATATAGTTGTTACTACCAATTTTCAAGGTGGTGCAGAAAGCGACCGATTGGTTCGATAATGATAAAGTACCGTCTCGTAGTAGTCGTGCTCTCCATAAGCGTCGTCTGTCTACGGCTCTTAGCTACTTTCCCTTTAACTGGATCTGTACGTGGATTGTCGTTGCAACAACTATATCTCCTCCGAGAACGTTCTTAGGCACGATTATGGTATGATTAGTTCGGTTCCACTTGCGAGAATCTTTACCGTGTTCGTCATTTAGCGGCGATCTCCTGCATCGCGACAAGTCACGGTCCAATAAATTAGGTCAATAGCAATGCAAAAAGCCATACTTGCCCCTTCCGCCAGGATTTACCGAGGAAACGCTTTCGTACTCTCTATACATGTTCGTGCCTTATTTATGACTCGGTATGCAATATCATGGATAATCGTTAGACTCCGTTCTGAAACCTGTACTTGACTTAGAGAGTACACGCAATTAACGATGGAAATTTCTTTTACGTGCACGGATTCGCGTAAACAAAATTTTCGTGAGTTTCAGGACGGAGCTCGAGCAGCAGAGACGGCGCGAAAGTCACGTGACGTCGCCAGGTAGAGGAAATGAAAAAATAAAGAGGAGGAAAGCGGTAATTATCACGAGCTTGTTTTTTGTCTCCGGCGTGATTTTATGATTCTCCAAGTTTTGGAAATATTCGCAAAAAACACGCTCGTAAACATGGTCCTATTACTAGGCACATTTATTCACCAGTCGTCACTCATGTATAAATAGTCAAACGTAATATGTGTATTCCGTATACGCCTCGACGTTACTCACCGCGCGATCTTTATATTAGCACGCGCGATTTAAATCGCTGCCCTCGAGAATTAGTCGCGCATCCTCTGCTCGCCTAACATTTTATTCGCCACTCGACACTTTCGCGAGTTCTCGTTCACTCCTAGTACCACGCTCGCGTGCGATCGGATGCGCTCGATTGACGCGGTATAAAAAAAACGAAAAAAGATCCGGGGATGTTACAACGTAAAGAAGTGAAAAAAAAAAAGAGAGAAAACGAGGGGGGAAGATCGTGCAATAACGCGTTCTCCCTGGTACGTAACACCAATAGTAGTTAAACAGTCTTGTATGTCGGGCTTAATGGGTTGACCTCTCGTCTCGGTTAAAATGGTTTCGAGTCGTTCGAAGCGCCTCTCTGCCGATGTACCGCGCGACGTCCTTAAGACCGAACAACGAGACTTATCGCGCGTCTGCCGAGATCGCCGCCTTTAATCGAGGGCTCCCGCCTGATAACCGATATAAACACCACAGCAAGTAGCACGGGCGCGAACGATCCTCGTTTTCGACCTCGAGCCACCCCTAACTCTTCCGCGGTATAAACGGTCAAAAGGCCCCGGCGGTCCCGCGCGTTAAGTTCCTCGGAGAAATCCTTTATCGAACTATTTGGTTTCGCGAGGGTCGATCGGCCGATCTTTGGGAAAATCGAATTTCAGACGGAGGCAAATTTCTGGAGATCCTTCCTTCGAAGTCGGGGGTAGGAGAGGTCTTTCCGCGTGCGCGACCGCAGGGTCCTCGTGAATTAATAAATAATTAAGGTTACGCTTTTTACAATTAGTGGCTCTTGATTAGTATTACCTTCGATTACGCTTCATAGAGAATAATCTAAATAGTACTTCGTACCGTGCCGTAGTATCACATACGATACGTGTGATGCGAAAACGATCGAATTAATGATACATCGGATTTCCCCGTTTCGCCGAGTCCTGCTCGAAGGAGCCCCGAATTCGCAGCCTTTGAACGTTCGATTCCAAAGGACCGTCGAATCCGCGGAAATCCGAGCGGTCGACGGGAAACGATTAAAAAAAAAAAGAATTTGCATCAAGATCCGCCCGACGATATGTCGCCGATATCCTAAATCAACGCCGAGGCATCGTTTCGGAGTTTCCGGCAATCCGACAGGATCCGCCTTCCCTCCGTGTCCCTCGCGTTTCCAGTATCGAAAAATACATCGATTTGAAAAATATACGCCAACTCGCCCACGACTATGCATATATATGTATATATTTATATATCTATCAATATACTTCTGTATATATATATATATGTGCAATATGTAAGTGTGTACGCATTACATACCCTAAAGGCTCGGCTTAATACTTGAGACGTCGAAGTCGAGGGGCGACGCGTGCGGCCGCGTCATCGCATTTACATATGTACACCGTGGCAAAGACGACCGGCCGATCGATCGGCCGCAAGAGACCCCGACGCGATCGCGTTAACGTAAATGCCCGCCGATCGCCGGCTCGAGCGATAAGGCGAAACGCGGCCGCGAACTCGATTCGACCGATCCCTTCCTCGAGCCCTTCGCAGCCGCGGAAAGGGGTGATATCCAAACGTAGGGACGAGGTTCGTCGGGACCTCCGGAAGGCTCCGACGGATTACCAGACCTTAGAGATAGAAGATTTCTGGCGGTGCTGAGATAGCCGGTTGCGCGCGACCGAGGGCCAAGATCCGAACGGAGGTCCGGGATCCGGACCGGGCATTGCGGCGACCCCGGGTACATCGGCTGCGCGGCATCGACCGAACGGCCTCGAGACGACCGGCGCCGACCGCGGTCGCGTCGACGCGGATTAACCGTACACGATAATAATTAACGATAATCATTAATAGCGGTGATATAGTAGCGAGTACTGTCTAGGACTTAAACCGTAAGTTACCTAGCCTAGGAGTCGCGTCGCGGGGCGGCGGTCGTCGCCGGCAGCCGTGGGCCCGAGAAATCGCGACCTCGTCCCGTGGCTGCGACGACCGCCGCGCCGTCTACGGTCCCAAGGATCGCGGAGGTCGCCTTCCGAGGGCGAAGGGACGCGCCGGCGATGACCGTCCGAGCGCGTCCGCGGGGTAGCGACAGTCGACCGGGCGTCGCCGGCCCCTCAGAGGCCGCCGCCGGTGGCGGCGCCGGGCCCGGTGGCCGCGAGGGGGTCCCCGGGCTTGCCGAGGCGCAGGATGGACTGCAGGGAGGCGACCTCGGAGGCGAGACGGTCCAGCCGAGACTTGACCTCCCGCTCGCTCTCGGGGACGGCGGGGACGCCGGAGGGCCCGGTCCACTCGGCGCCGAGGGAGATGCCGGAGTCGCGCTCGTCGCTGGAGCCCTCGTTGTCCCACGGCGGCGACGCCCGGGGGCCGGGCTCCTGTTTGATGCCCTGCAGGGCCAGGAGGGCGCTGGCGGCGTCCTTGTCGCCGATCCGCGACTTGTGCCTCAGCTTGTGAGGCAGGCTGTTGTTGGCCGCGGGGTTCTGGGAGACGACGATCTGCGTGGACTCGTCGCCGCTGCCCGAGGACAGCTCGAAGGGCGACTGGGCCCGCCGCCCCCGGCTCAGGTTCAGGGCGCTGCCGGAGTCGAAGTGCATCGCGGGGTGCGGGTAGGGGTACTGGAAGCTCTCGGCCTCGGGGTAGGCCGTGGTCTCCGGCACGTAGAGCTGAGCCGGAGACCTAGGCGACCTGGCCCCGCTGACGGGCTGGTGGATGACGGAGGTGTGGACCGGGCTAGGGGTCCGGGCGTAGAGGAGGGCGGCCGAGGCCGGCAGTTTGGCGCGCTTCACGAGCGGCGGCTCCGCCGGCAGCGCGGCCAGCACGTGCTCCGTGCTGACCACCGATTCCCCGCAGATGCCGAACTTGTCGCGGATGGCCTCGAGCTGGGCCTTGAGGATGTGGTTCTCCTTGCTGAGCTCCATGACCCGCTGCTCCAGGACCATGTCGTTGAAGCGGCGCTTCTCCCTCGAGCGCTTGGCCGCCTCGTTGTTGCGCCGGCGCCGGTCCCAGTAGCTGTCGTCCTTCTTGTTGTCCGGAATGAACTCCCGTTGTTTTCTCTGAGAGAAGAGCTCCTTCCTTATGTCGAAGTTCGCCGGGAAGTTGTCCGGGTGCGTTACCTGGGGGTCGTGGTGGTGCTGGTGGTGGTGGTGGGGCTGGCCCGGCTGGGGCTGCTGCTGCGGCTGCTGCTGCTGCTGTTGCTGGTGCTGCTGGTGCTGAGGCTGCGGCGGCGGCGGCTGGGCCTGGCCCTGCTGCTGATGCGGAGGGGGCCCATGGTGGGAGGGATGCGTCAGGGGCGGCAGGGGCCCGTGGGCCTCGTGGGCCCCGTGCCCGCCGTGGGTCCCGTGCCCTCCGTGCCCTCCGTGTCCTCCGTGTCCTCCGTGCCCTCCGTGCGCCATGCTGTGGCTCGCCGGCATGTTGCCGTTCAGACAGGCCGTCTCACCATTGATGGGCGATCCACTCTGGCGGGAGACGAACTCTGCCACCATAATTTGTCTTCTTAGAACATCTGAAACCATCGACGAAACGCCGGTTAGGAAGGACACGAGAAAGGGAGGCGAGTCGCCGGAACATCTATCCGTCCCTCCTCCGGACGACGCGCCGGAAGACGAGCGGTCGATTTACGATCGCGAGACGTCCACGAGGTCGCCGGATGCGATGCCGCGGCGAGGAGTCACGAAAACCCGGCCTTATATGCCGGGAAGGTCGGACGTCGAATCGGGCACGAGGAACTGCGGGGACCCGCTTCCTGGAGACTTCGACGCCTCGGGGTCGTCCTTCGAGACCGGTCGCGGACGCGTCATCCGCCGATTGCGCAAAAGTACGCAGCCGGTTTGCGTAAACGTGGGAAACGCCGCGACGCTTTGTGCTCGATCGGTCGAACGGTAGTTTCCTGGATTTTCGATTCCTCGTCGTCGGAGTTCTTCCTCCTTCCGAGAGACCGAGACGCGTCCCTCGCGAAGGCCCGCGGGACTTTTGCGGCGTTTTAAAAACCGCGAGCGGTTCCGCCGGAGGAACTCGCGAAAGCTCGTCGCACGAGGAAGCGACTCCGGTCGCCCGGGGACGTCCATGTGGGTTTAGCCCGGTCATTGTTGGACCGTTAAAAATAGACGAAGTGACTTTCGATCCCGCTTGGAGGACTTCCCCGAGTAGAGTCGCGGAAACCGACCGCGAAGGCGCCGCGCCTCCACGTGGCTTCCGCGTCCGTCGTCGCGTCCGTTGCGCAACCGGCGCTGTCGAGTCGCCCTCGACGCTCTCGAAGGAAGAGCGTCCGGGTCGGAATTCGTTCGATCTCGCTAAATCCGGCGATTCGAGCGATCGACGAACACCGTCGAAGCGGTCGTTTACTCGCGCGCGTGTAATCGTTAAGAAAAAGTGCCGAGCGCGCGCGGACGGGACTCGTGACTCGTTGTCTCCTTCTTGGCCACGGTGATTCCATTGTTCTCGCGCGTCGGTAGAAATATACGAGTAACAGCGTATACGATCGACGGCGAAACGCCTCGGAAGGGACGAACAATGGCATCCGGCCTCCTCTCGCGTTGGCAATTTTGAAATCCCCGCGGACGTCCGCGCTCGACGCGCCGAGGAAAAAAATCGCCGATTCCGGCCGCGAAACACCACCGCAAAAAATTCCCGGGAAAATCATTTCCTTCCATTAAACGGGATTAATTTTTCTCGAGCCGTCCGCGCAACTCGGAGTTAGGTTTTCGCGAGCGCGGCTCGAGGCCGCCTTTGTTCTCGATTTAGCGGTTAATCGCGAAAACCGGCGAGTCGGCGCACTTGGCCTCCGAGCGGTCACCGGGAGTGGAGGAAGTATCCTCGGGGCGACCGGCCGAGGCCATCGGAAAGGCTCCGGGGGACGGAAACGCGTCCTTTTTCCTTCCTCCCCTCCCAGGGATCTCGCTTTTTGCCGGTGCACCGTGCACGGTGCACGTGCCTCGCGACCGCGCGCGCGACCAAAGGCACGGCGAAGCAAAGGCCGAGAACCGGCGGTATTAAAATTTCCCTCCAAGAGAAGAAATTGAAGCGGAGGACGTCGCGCGGAGCCGATCCCGAGGCGGAGTCGCGTCCCGAATCCGGAGACCGTTGGGCGAACTCGCGGGAAAAGGTCTTGCGACTTCGAGCCGTCGTTATCGCTATGACTCGTTCCCCCGCCGCTTATGTAACGCACGATTGCGCAACCCCGTGAGTCAATGCCGCGACACGCGAGTCGGGATTATTGTTTTCGAGGGGAATCGAGCAAAGCACGGTCGCGGCCCGATCGGGCCAGCTCTTTCTCCAAGTGGCTCGGAAAATCGCGACGTTTCCCGGGCGGGTCCTTTCTCGAGAACGATCGACGAGGAGTCGCGGTCGAAGATCGACCGGTCTCGGGCGGACCTTGGCACGAGGAAACGACGCCGATCGCCTTTCCTGGCACGGCTCCAAACTCGGGGGATCCGCGCGCATTCGAAGAGGAAGACCGCGCGATTCTTTACGATAATTGCCTGACAAAGCAACTCGCGATCGGCCGTTCCTCGCGTGCCGTGCGTACAGGGACGGTCGTGATTCACCCACGCGTCGTCTCCTCGACTCGCGCGGCCCACTTCCGACTTCCGACATCAACGCGACCCTCGAAGTTCGATCCGCGCCTCCACCTCCCGCTCTCGATCGATCGAAGCTAATTCGTCCTCGGAATCGCGATGAGCGTTGAAATCGTCCTCGGTAAAAGGCAAAGAAAAAAAAAAAAAAAGACGAGCGCGTTCGCTATACGACGCCCCCGAGGTTCCGCTGAGGTCGACGTCTCGAGAACGGGCGTCGCGACCGTCGTTCCCACGTTCGAGGGATCGATTCCGTCCCAGAGTCGAACCGAAGGAAACATTTTCTGGGACGGGTGTCGCTTCCTCGTCCCTCGAGACGGCGGTGGCTTCGCAATTGGGTCAAGGCTCCGCGGTCCCTGAAATCGTCCGGTCGCGGAGGGGAGAAGAGAGCGTCGTTCCGATCGACCGGGCGACCTCTTTCCGTCCGCGCGTTCTGGCTCCCTCCTCCACGGGAGAAAATCGCCGATTCCGGACGAATCGAGGTGAATCCAGGTGAAAGCGAACCGTTTACGCGGGGCCGAGAGAGCGCCCGTCCAAAGATACCGCGAGGAAAGGGCAGGGATTCCGCGCATTTCTCGGCCGGGCTATAAGGGGTTCCCTGGTGGAGAACAAAGGCCGCTGCCGTTCGCTCCGGGGTACCCGTGGTTCTATTAAGAGAGTCGGAGTCGCGTATAGTTCGGTGACTTGCCCGCTTCCATTAAAGACGGCCATCCAAGGATTACGTAAGGCCGAGCGCCCCGAGTAAACGCGAGCGTGGGTACGTCCCGAATCGATCCGCGACGATCTCGCGTCCCGCGACTCCGACTTCGACTTCTTCGCACCGGCCCTTGCGCAACGTCCTCTCGCGGTTTCTTCCCCGTCGAATCCACTCGCGGTGAGGATATCCTCGAGAGCGGTCCGACTTTGCGCCGATCCTCGGGACTTATCGGCGGCCCGATTTATTTCCGTTCCGTCGAGGCGCTGGGCTCGCGGACGCGCGGATATAATTGCGTCCGACCCATCCGGGCGACTTCCCCTAGGGTGACCGACCTTTGGGCGCGTTCCGGGAAGAGAATTACCGCGAGTGCGCCGCGTCCTCCCGGTGAGTCACATTTAGCCGTGGACGTCGGCACCTGGCTATTACCGTATGCGGACGAGCGTCGCCCGTCCGCGTGGGCGCCGGCCCCACGTGCCGCCCGACGAAGGGGGCTCTCGACTTTGTCGGAGGAGCGAGAAGACGCGTCGATCCCCGATGACCCGCCGGTCGTTCCTACCGTCGACGCGTGTCCTATCGAATGCGTATCGAGAAACGTGCCGCCGCGGCACTCGGGGGATCGATCGACGCGTAATGGGGCTTTACGTTCCGTCACGGCCCTCCGGCGGATTACCACTCGTCCCAAGTGCCACATGACTTCCTTTTTTTCCCTTTTTTTTTTTTTTTGCGTAACTCGGCTTACGTGCGAGTCGCTCGAAATAGAACGGATCTCGGGAAGCCCCGCGAGAGGGGCTCGCGAGTGCAACGTGCAAGCGATCGGAAGTTAAACCGAACACGGCGTTATCGCCGGCGGTTTGTCGCGGCGGTCTCCGCGAGTTTTCCAAGGCGGACCGAGCTTTGTAAAGTGAATTTACGGAAAAGGCCAACCCATCGATGCCGATAAGGGGGCGATACGAGATTCGGATCGGTGCATACGTTGGTTCATATTTTGGGAGAGGACTCAACGCGATGAAAATTAATTTCTTCCCCGACGAAACGTCCGTTTCCGCGATATTTTTTTTTTTAGTACCGTTACGCTCTCAAAGATAAAAGAGACGACCAAAGTTATCGTTCCATCCGGAGTAAACGCGAGGGTTGAGTATCGGGTGAGCGAGGAGGGAGCGCGATTATTATATTGAATTTCCGTACGAAAGAGAGAATGAATAATACCTATTATCGCTCGCTTATCAGTCCTCGTATCGAATTCTAGGAGACCAGTCAGTCCTCGAAATAGACCGCACTATCTGGTAGATGGATGGCGGTTGCGTAAGCGATACAAATGTTACGATCAACAAGTTGGGGGGACGAAAAATCCAAACGTCGGGGTCGACGAATCGATCGACCGGGACGCGGCCGTATTTTACGAACAACGAGGCGGAATCACGCGACGATCCGATAAATCTCCGGAAGATGGCGATCGCGGAATTAATTAACGGCCAGCTCGCGATCCGCGAGATCGCCGACCGCCGACCTAGAAACCGAGTGACTCGTCGAATTGGACGATTTCTGGAAGCAGAAGTCATACGATGACGAAGAAACAAACCGTCGCGAGGAACGGCCTCCAAAAGTTCCACGGCTGAATCACTCGGAGTGATTCAACGTCGGTTTTCCGTTGACCGGTCCAAACTCTGCGAAAACCGCGAACGATCGTTTCTCAAAGCGTCGCGAGGCCGCCCCATTTCGCGACAAATGAGAAATCGATGCCGTCCAGCCCTTCCGCGTTGAGTCGTTTCCCCGTCCGAGGAAAGCCGCGCAAAATCACGTTGCACCGAATCATCGCTAAACGGCCGACGCTAATCCCATTCCTCGAAGCGATTTATTCCGCGACGACGCAAGCCCCCTCGTGCGACCGGGAGACGACGTAACGATTCCCGGAAGACGCGGAGTCGCGGATCCGAGGAAGCGGGCGATGCCGCAACGTCCTCCGCGCCGCGGTCACATCCTCGAGTCCTGCCTAAACGTCGCGGTCCCGGATGCCGAAGGCCTCGTCTCGAAACCGCCGATCGCTCCCAGCCCAAGACCCCGAAGGAACGCATTTTCCCCGCGAGGAGGAATTTCAGACGAGAGTCCAAAAACCGAGGCGCCCGAAGTCTTCGGGAACGACGACCGCCCAGGTATCCGCGTCTCGATCGGCGCGGCCACGCGTCGCTCGGTCACGTGGGCCGTCGCGTCGGCGCGCGGCCTGGCCGCACGTGGCCGGCGCTCCGCCGCGCCGCGGCCAGCTTCGCGGCGAGTCCGCACGTGGCCTCGCCTCGCCGCGGCCAACTTCCCGGCGCGGCGGCCCCAAGTGCCGCGAGGACGTAACGAGGCCATGTGAAAAGCAGCCGGATTAACGCGCCGCGCAAAATGACGAGCCACGTTTTCACGTGTACCGCCGGGGGGGGGGGGCGACGTCACGTGTAGGCGCGACCGTCCTCACGGTCCATTATCGATTCGCGCGATTACGCCGACGTGGGTTACGACACCGCACGAGCGCGCTCTCGGTCACGCGGAGGGAAATTTCGCGTCCAGGGCAAACCCCACCTCCCGTCGTCGGCGGAAAATTCTCCCCAGGATGCCGTTCGCCGTTCGGGGATCCCCGTGACCGCGGCAACGATAGTTTCGAGCGACGCGAGGGAAAATTCTCCACGTTCCGATCGATCGGCGAGACCTCGGTAGCAGCCGTCGACTCGTGGGAGAACGGAGGGGGCGAAAAGTCGTAATCGTAGTTTACGTTAAGGCGCCGTAGTCGGTGAATTAGCGGGTCGAGCGGCGACCCCGATTAGGGTTATCGCCGTTTAGACGATATTAAAGAGAAAATAAGAGCACGAGAGAGCGTGCCGATAACGGCTCTTCGTTAGAGGCTTCGTTAATAGGTCGCGGCGCGCCTTTCGCGGCGGCTCTCCGGTTCGACCGTCTCGAAGAAAGCTCCGAAAAAGGGATCCGGAGGCTCGAGGCCGCGAGGGGACTTCCTTTTCCGCATTTCGTCGCTCGCGTATCTCCGCCGGCATATCTTATCCCCGTGGGCCAATTGCATAACGAGCTTCCAACGAAATCGCGGGACCAGTTCGGAATATATTCGTTTCGGGCCGATAACGGTATCGACGCTCGGTGTTACGCGAACGCGCCGATCGAGCGGACTCGAACCGAAAGACTCCCGACTTCTCGTCGGAGGTCGGATCCGTTCGGCACCTCCTCGGCGGCGCGGAGTTCGAGGAGAGATCCTCGTTTCGGGGTAATAGGGCGGATAACGGTCGAGCGACGCGTCGTCGATAAGAAACCCGGAGAGGAGACGGAGGGAGGAACGAGAGCGCGAACGAAGGAGGGAGGCGCGACTCCTCTGCCTCTCTCGCGTTACGTAAGAGAGCGCGATAGCCGGTTTGACATAATTCGTGATCGCGTCGAAGGGAGAGGGAGAGAGAGGAAGGAAAGAAGGACGGAAGACGCGGGGCGGCCGTGGGCGGAGAGAGAGCGGCGACCGGCGAGAAAAGGAAGGAGCGGTCGGCGACGGATTCCGGAGCCGAATCGCTGGGGGGCCAATGGCGCGCGCGTTATCGTTTAACGAGCGAGATAACGGAGCCACGTGACGGCCGACGCCAACGTAACGCCTACGTGCCGCGCGTAACACCTGCGTACCGCTATTGCCGCGACCCGCGCATCCTCGGACCGAATCCGCGCGTTGCGTCACCGACCGCGGTCTTCGTCGCGATTAACGTCCGAGTCTCTTTTTTTTTTTTTTTTTCCAGACCGTGGCGCGACGACGACCGGTCGTCCGAGCCCGGGGCCGTGGGCTCGATCCACCCTGGATGCAGCGGCCGACGGAAACCCCGAAAAAGTCGCGGCGATCCCGGGATCGACTCCCGGGGCCGGGGGCGACGCCGAGATCGCGGAGGAACGACCCGACATGGGCGTTTAGGAGACCGTTAGGACATTGTTTCTCGACCGGTCGACTCCCATGTACCGGTGGGTGTCGAGGGTACCGCGCGTGTCAAACGGTATTCCGCGTGCACTCCTTTCCCCCTTCCCTCGTCCCCCTCGCTCCATTTACCGGTAATCCCATTCGGTGTCCACCCACCCGGGGAATCGGCGCCGCACCTGCGTTAACGGAAACCCTCCTCGGAGCCGGGGTCACGTTCGACCGAAAACTCCGTTCGGGGTGCCGAGATCGCGGGGTTATCGGTGTTTCTCAATCGTTCTCGTATTCTCTTAAAATACCCCCTCGCGATAGCTTCGGGAGAGTGGACCCGCCCGTTGGGTAAACGCGGATAGATAACCTTGAAATCGGGGAAAAATATCGAGGATCGAAAAACACGCTCTGCCCGCGACTCCGTTTCGTCGCCGACGACCCCCGGGTCGGAAGACTCCTTCCCGGGCAGACGCGTCAACGTTCCCGATCCGATCGACGGGGGAGAGCGCGACGCGATCCGGATGACAACGGTCCAAAATTTGGGGATGCTCGAGCGACCGCGGCACCTCGCGCGGGGGAAGCCCCGAGTCGGGGACGCCGCGATTTCCCCGGGTAACGGGTACTTTTCTCCGCGGTTGTAGACTCGCGTGCGCCACTTATCGGTGCCTCGATGAATTGCACCGTTAGGTGTATCACATACGAGCGTGACGGATTCGCGGCGCCGCCTCTTTCGGCCGGACTCGGAAATCGCTCGACGAGCGACCCCGCGATGAACCGCCCTTGAACTTGACTCCGTCGCCCCCCGTGGGGCATATCCCGAGACGCCCCCGCGATCGCAGCGGACTAGGTGGGGCAATATCGTCACTGCAACTTCCGATTCCGCGGATGGAAGACCCCCCAAAAAAAATAAATAAAACTCGGTCCTCGCCCTTGAATTCCGCCTCCCACCGTTCGGAGTGAATCACCGGCGGTCGTGCTCCCTCCCCTCGAGCGAGGTGCGGCAGAAACCTCGACGCGCGTCGGCCATGTACCATAAGCAAGGTTGAGAGAGCTCCGCAAATTAGGCCGTGGCCCACTTCGGGCATGCACGACGTGCTCGCGATCCTCGGGCGGGGGGCAAGGGGTCCGAGGTGCGCCGAGAGAGAGGAGGCGCTTCGGGGGTGAAGATAAAAATCGGAGGGGGGGTTCGCGGTCGGGATCGTTGCGGCGCGCTCCCCGGTGACATTCACCCACGTGCGCCGAGAGGTGCCCCTCCCGTCTCCGCGTCGCGTAGGCCGGAGCGAGGGCGATTCGGTTTTTTCGTCCGCCAGGTATTTTACGCCCCCGGGTATTTTCGCGTACCGAGGTGGACGGGGCTCGGGAGCGATTCGAGTTTGCCCGTCCGTGCGGCACGGCTCGCGGAACGGTCGATAGACGGTAGGATCGAAGCGCCCCGTGACGCACGAGGCGAGTCGCTCCGCGTGATAAGAATCGGCGAAAAGGACGCAACGGGCGCGAGCGCTTTTTCCCCCGCGGGAAAGGGTCGATAAAAGCTGCCGGTATCGGTCGCGTCGTCCCCTCTCGAATTTTCACCTTTCTTCGGGAATTCGACGCGATAACGAGGCACGAGGTGGGACGTCGCGTTCCTCGCAACGATTAATTCCCCTCGATGAGCGTTATCGATGCGCGCTACGCGCGTTGTCCGGTGCGCCCGAAGTCGAAGAAAAACGGGGCAGGAATCGATCCGGAAAAATTGAACCGTGTCGTTTAAAAAAAAAAATAAAAAAAAAATACGTGCTCCCCGGTTGGGAGTCATTGCCGCGAGCGCCTCGGCCGTTTTTGCCGAGCTCCGCGCTCGCGGTGCTCCCACGTTCTTTGTCCCGCTCTCGTGAAAATGGCTAATTAGTCCGCGGGGAGTCGATAGCGTCGGTCCACCGTCGGTCATGCTTCCGCCCCCTTAGGCGGCAATGCCACGGCATTCCGGGATCCCGGAATCCGGAATGACGGAGCCGATCGACGCGGTTTCGTAATCCTTTTCCGCATTCCACCGATCCGTCCGCGATTCGCCCAAATCGAGGTGACTCGTCGCGATAAGGGTCCGAGGGTCGACTCGAGGAAAAAGAAAAAAAACCATTCAAGATAAATCGCGCAAAAGCGAGAGGTTATGTCGTAAGCCGCTGCCGAGATCCGACCTTCCGGAGCCGCCGATCGGGAAACGCGGTCCCCGACCTCGAGGGGGATTACGTGGAATACTTACTCACCAATTTTGAAGCTTTCTCTCGAGGACTACCGCACGACGGAACGGGGCTCCACCGTAAATCTCCGATCCGGGCGAACTCGGGAGCGGGTCGCCTAAGTTCATCCGAGCACACTGTTCCGACTCGAGGGGGTCTCGGGGCCCCGACGCGTCTCTCGCGATCACCCGCGGCCAGGAACGTCGTCGTCGCGACGCGGTCGCTCTCGTCCGGCGTGACACTCGATGCGCGATCTTCCGAGCTCTGGGGCGCGCGTCTACTCCGGGCGGCGTCGCGCTCAGGACTGACTCGGTGCCGCGCGAAACTTCGACTCTCCGTCTTGGCCTCGATGTCGCCGTCCGACGAGGGAGTCGGAGAGAGACGGCGACTCTCGCTCCGTCCTCCTCCCTCCGCGTTGGGTTGGGAGCACCGACGCGCGCCCGACCCGCGCGCGCGTCGGTGCTCTTTGAGACGCGGTGGGGGGACGCGCCGGTTGGGAGAAGTTTATGCTCGGTTTATGCTCCATTCGTGTGCCGCGCGCCCTCCGCACCCCTCCGCGGTCGGCGGCGCTCCGCGTCAGAGACTTCTCCCACCCTGTCGCGGCAGCCGCCCCTCCGACGCCGTCGCGCGCGACGCGACGAGACGCGAGCTCGATTAGATCGCGCCGAGCCGTCGCGCCGAGCGGATCTCCCTTTCTTGGCCCGACCCGCGCGGGGGAGGGCGCGTAATTGGAGCCCGCTCGTTTTCTCGGTACCTCGTTACCGTTTAAGCGAAAGGGGGGCTTCGACGAGGGATCTAGCGCCGCGACGTCCGTATACTTTTTCGACGTCGTAACCGATTCGCCGAAAATTCGGAGTCTCGGGGAAGCGGTCGCCAAGAAAGGTGCCGTCACCCGATAAACGTAACAAAGAGACGTCGCGAAGGAATAATTTTCCTCGCGAAATCTGGGGGAGAAAATTGCTCGAAGTAGCGGCCGGAAGGCGTAACCGCGAATAGATATTTCGAGTTCGACGACAAAGAAGTCGCCGCGACCGGACGCGGTCGGGCGGGTTCGGCGGGAACGTCTCCCCTCCCTCGGAGCCCCCGATGCCAGACAACGGAGGCATCAGCCCCCGTGAATCACCGGTCACCTTCACTTTTTATGCAATTTTGTTAACCCGGCTTCGCTCCTCGAGGAGCGGCCGCCGCCGCTGCGCGCCCGCGTCGCGTGGAGGCGCCAACGTCCCGCCCGACTTCGCCTTCGTTTCTCGCCCCCGCGTCCGCGGGCCGTCTTTCGTTCCGAACGGTGCAGCGTACGCAGGGAAGGTCGCGGCGAATCGAAAGTACGAGCCGGCGATCGATTCAATTTGCCGATTGGCGCTAGAGGGAACGAAGGTGAAAGAAATACGGGGGAAAATCTTTTCCTTTCCCGAGATCGTCCCGAACCGTTCCGACACGGTCGGATTAAGGTCGGATTTTTTCCGACGGTCGGAGGCGCGTCCGCGTCCCCTCGGCCGATATTGGCGTAATTTGCAGCCGGTGACTCGCGGATTTTCACGCCTATTTCATCGGCGGCCGTAAAATCGCGAGGGCGAGAAGGGCAAGGGGCCCGGTGACGTAAACCGCGATTACGGTGCAGCGCGTTTAATCGCGAGACCGTCCGCGGTTTTTGCGCAAATCGCAAACAAGGCGCAGCGGCCGTCGATACCGATCGATCTCGGCTCGCCGCGATTACACCTTTTTTCCTCGATTTGGCAATCGCGTATGCGCGTGGCCGCGGTTCGAAACACGGACAGGTGGCAGGAAGACGGAATTATCCCGTGACACTTTGGCGAGTCGAGAATCGCTCTCGAGCGCGAGTCATCGGGACGTCTCCTCGGCAAAGGAATTTCTCTCGGGGATTTTTAAGGACGCGCGGAGGAAACGAGTCCTAAGGGGTCGGGGGGGCGGGCATTGTACCGAGAGAAAAGCCTCGTTAGAAGGCGAGGCTTTTCCCAGGTACAGCTTTCCGGTGTACTCTCTCCTCGACGCCAAAGGTACGAGTACTCGGAGAAAGTGTAACCGCGACCAAGTAATAGAGTGACGCGGACGATCCGGTTGTAATCGCTCCCCTTGCGCCCGGATTGCTCTCGACGACGCCTCCTTGCACTTGTCCGCGCCTACGGGTCGAATCGGGAGAAAGAACGTGAAATTCGACGTGACTCCGTCTCGAGTTCCTGGCTCTAGAAAGCGGACCGACGCGCACTCTGCGTCCGCGGAAGTCTCGAAAGAGGAGATTTTTCGCGGCGACCTTAATTCGGGGGAATTTTCGACGTTCGGGGGTCGACGTAACTCGGTTACGGCAACCGCCGAAAAAAGTGTAACAGGCACGGTAACGAATTCGACGGTAAGCGGTAATTGCGATTACGTCAAGCGGACCCCTCTCCGGTCGGTGAATTCGGGATAAGTTCAACGATCTCGGCATTCGGAATATTCGGGGGCCATTAAAAGGGGCGATCGCTTTCGCGTCATGGTTCCGCTTTCGGAGGTGCGTTTTCTAGCGCCTCGTAATCGATCGGCCGACGAGCGGGTTTTCGTCTACGATCGGCCAGCGTTTTTCGAGCCACCCTGTATAAAAGACGGGAGCCTACTTGGCTCGCGGACGGTACTTTCATCGGCCAAGTGAAAGCAATATGAAAGTGCTTGATTGCAAAGTAGAAAGGTGAAATGTACGATAAAAAGACGAGGCCGTTACGTGCGCGTATACCACCGGTCGACCCATTTGAGAGAATTGCGCGAGAGAGAGAGAGACAAGAATTTTGACCCCGAGCGGGGGCACATCTCGAGTCCTTGAGTCGAACCTCTAAGGTCAATGGTAGCCAAGGAATTTTTCGTTGACCCACGTCCCATTATTTCTCCCTCTTAACAGGACGACGAACACCGTTCCTAGGAGACAACCCGATTCGGCCCACTGACGCGTCGGCCGGTCGTTCGAGCGTTAAGTCTAATTTAGAACTTAACCTGCCCGGCCACTCGATCTTTCCTGGGCGGACCCGCCCGTTTCTCGCTTTTTCACCTTTGGCTCGAATTACGCGTTATCGTTCTCCCCCTCGATTGCGCCTCCACCGTGGAAGGACGAATCGCAAGGTCGACTCGGCTGCACCGAAAAAATCGTGTCGCGCTTCGAGTGAAAAAATTCATTAAGAGAATCGGCCCTCGATCTATCTCGCGCTGCTTCTCCACGAAGCGTCTTTCCGTCGTGGTCGAAATGGAACGTTTCGGTCACGGAGCGAGGGAAATATCGTTTTCCCCGATAAGACCGGCCCTGAATCTCGCACGAGTCGGATCGCGAAATCGTGGGTCGATCGCGACATCGCGGCGATTTTTCCCAAAGGAGCGGCAATCTTTCGCGGAGGGACCTTCGGCGAACGCGAAGCACGCCTCGAGCCCGGCGAATCTCGGCCGCGGGAGCTCTCCGTAAATATTTTCATTCGCTAAGTGATTACGAGCTGCTGGATGTACCGTATCGCTCCGCGTAATTGCTAAACTGTTATATTATGCGAAGGCGATAAGCTATCGGGTCGCCGATAGTGCCGGTATCGCCTCGAAGTTGTTTCGTTGGACACGGGTCAGCTGGGCCGATAGTCGATCCCGTGCACGGAGCGTCCGAGACGAGGTTGACAAGAATCGGGACGGTATCGGCGGAACGATCCGTCGACGAGCGGACGCGCGTTTTCGGTCGGTCCGAGGAAACGCGTAGAATTTCTACGGTAGATCCCGCTCCGAGGTTTCGCTCGACTCGTTCGGCCGTTCCGAAAGGAAAAGAAATGCCAGGGAATTTTTTTTTTTTCAAAGCCGGCACCGAGGGGGCGTACGTCGGGAACTACTGGTTTCCGCAAAAACACGGGAAGTCCATAAAAAAATAACGACGACGTCGAAACCGCGGAAACAACGTCGAAAACCGGGACGATCCACGAGGTGTCATTAGGGGAGGTGCGAGGAGGTTGGACCAAACGACTTCCCGACTGGGAAAGGTGGCTTGGTCGTTGACTTTTCCTCGCATCCACTCGCGAACGCGACGTCGCGAGAGGGCCGATCGCAATTGTTAATTACGTCGACAGATGGCGCAAGCGAGCGCCTCCCGCAAAAATATCCCTGATCCCTCTCGGATCCTCCTCGGTGATCGGTTATTAATAGTCCTCCGGCCAATCGGTCAAACGGCGAGTCGCGAGGACGCGTCACCGCGTCCTATTAATACCCGGCAAGAAAGGCGCGCACCGATCTCGGGATTAGAAGATAAATAAGAAGAGTCAGGGCCTCCCCGTAATTCCCGCGAGGAATTAAACCGAGGCTCGACGACGAAATCCCGCGGAGAAGGTCGAACGTCGTGGGACGCTCCGAGGAAATTCACCCCGAGGAAGATTTTCACGGGCACGACTCTCGCGGCGCGTACACGGTCGCCGAGAGGTGCGTTCGCGCACGTAACGCGACGCGTAATCGCGCGGTCGCGGTGGAGTGCCGCGCCAAGATCACGTGCCCGAGGAGACAGGAAGCCCGGGTAGGTGTAAGCTCTCGGAGAAAGCAGTCTCCGTCGCGGCGACTCGGTGTACCGAGCCACGCACCCGCGGACCGAGAGGAAAGAAAAGACCCCGGGGTGCTTCCGCGCTTCCCGATCTCGTTTCCAGTCGTCGCCTACGTCCGCTGCAACGACCCGAATCGCTGACCACCGATGAGAAATCGATACCCGATGCAACCACGTCGACCGCGGAAGTCCAAGCTGCAGATTTCCGCTCTTCTTTTTAATTTGCGTATTGAATCAAGTGCGCGTGAAAATTCGAGCCGGCGAGATCGAGCGTAATCCGCGGGAAGAGTTGCGTCTAACGTTATCGGCCGGCTCTTTGTCTCGGAGCGATCGAGCGGTCGCTCGAGGGTGATTCATCGGCCGCGATGGTCGGGCGACAAAGAATTCGCCAAGACGTAATTAGGCGAGCGGGATGACGGTATGTTTTGCGCGGAACAAAAGTGGCCTCGCGCTTCCGCGAGGGATATCGGGGTCGCCCAAGCCGGTAGGGTAAGGCCCTCAAGGCCGATAAGAGAGGGCCCCGATAGGCTCGGACGTCGAGGAAACTACCAGGAAGGCTAACCACTTTTCGACATTTTTCGCTCGGTGTCCCCGACCTCGCCTCTTTCCACCGCGCGATCCGGCGTCGGTCCTTCGCGTCCCCGAGGTCCGGTCGCGCGAAAAATCGATCGACATCGATGGTCAGCGACCAACCGGTGACTTTGTTTTGCTCTTGCGAATAATCATTAATTACCCCGTTTTCTTTGCCTTACATCTGGTATCGAATCTAAACAAGAAAGTAACCGCGGGGTCTCGGAGCTAACTATAAA